AACGTGTTTTGATTGATCACATGAACAATACTGGCTCAAATATCCCTGTGTGTCCCGTTCATTCACGAATGGGGTCGTGTGAATTTCAATATCGTGATATTATCATTACTTACCACATAAAAGATAAGAGGTAACAAAAGGTAAAATAGCCATAGATAGAAGTGAAGGGTGTTGCTGAATCTGTTCAGATACGTGTCATAATACCATCCACCAGTTACTGAAGGCCAAACTCCAGTGGCTAGAATTCTCAAAGTGCCCATATCCCGACGACGCAGTCACCAGCATAACAAATGCGGATGCGTTTCCCAACACGCTCTGGGCCACGGAAACGGCCGTCAACTTCTACGTATAGATTTCATGCTGTCTGACACTTTTCAAGCTACTCCACAGTGCTCTTCTGCAGCAAACGTTCACTCTCTTTCTCTCTTTCTACTGTGGTGCAGTTCTACTATGCACTTTGCTTTCAAGTCTTCGCCTTGACTCGAGTTTGCCTTCTTCTGTTTCTGTTTTCTGTGCATTTATGTTCTGTTTGTTTGACTCTTGCAGGAAAAGGATGACTCATGCGAGTTGTTGTATCAGATCCACTGACGTCATGCCTATTATGTTCTGCTAAATCGTCAATTTTTGCACATTTCTTTCACGCCGTGGTCAAATACAAAAATACAAGCTGCTCTTCCACGTCAAAACGTAGATCTACTTGTCTTCTTTTCCACACCGTCTTACGACTACTCGTACTTGTATTTTGTAATGCTGCCATTGTCGAGCTAGCACCCTTCTATTTCTGTCGTCCAGGCCAGGATATGGAGTACGATGCTCGAGTCTTTGATCATGATCGTCATCATGGTCATCATACTGTACAAGCTTCTGCCAGTTCTGGTAGATCTACATGACATTGTACTCTAGTCATAGTCGTACTCGTAGTTGGCAACCAACTCCAGTCCAGGCAGCCGTGCCACCGTGTCCGGGATCACGTTTTCGAATGAAGTGTCAACATGTCACTACTGAGTACTGAGTCAGCTGTTTCGTCGAACTTTCGACTCAATGCGCGTAAGACGCATTATCATTATTATGCATTCTTCTTCTTCTTATTATTATTATTATGCGTGAACCGTGGACACATAATGACAACAGTCATGTAGACCTTATGCTACTCTACACGACAATCATTGTAGTCTACCAATACAGGACTCCAATACAAGACTCCAATGCAGGACTCCAATACAAGACTCAGGAGAAAACAAAAGACCAAGCAGGTATACTGTACTAGTAGGCTCTGAGAGCCCATCCTCCGCAACTACAACTACATGTACTTGGAAATCCTTTACATGCAAAGCTAAGGCCGGTACATATCCCCCCTCTCATCATGGAATAATATCACCATGGTTGTTATAATGGCCAACCTCTTACTGGTGACGAATCTGCGGCCCTTTCTGCAAGCTCTTCACTGTCCTCCGTAAAGAATGAGACGCCATAGCTAGGTACCACAGTCTAGAGTAGTGTGCTAAGGATGATCTTAGTACTTACGGGCTGGATCTGACTCTGTACTGGTCGGAAGGGAAGGAGCAGAATGTCAATTCCCGCTTACAGTAAGATGTTCAAACCAGGGAGTAGCACAATTACTCCCTGGTTTGAACAGTGCGTGATGGGTATGCTTGGAATGCAGCAGAGAAGACCTACCTCCCTCTTCAGACGGAACATTATAAAGAGGGGGCATCAACCGACCTCTCCCCAAGCACCTGCTCACAGTCAATGATCATCGGTATCACAACAGAGATGTGAAGGCGGCTCATAGGCCTATAGGATGGAATGAAATCCAGAATAAATACTTTAAAAAGTCTGAGGGACTGATTTCAAAGTAATTCGCTTGAGCATTATACGATGAAGGTGGGGGCGGATGTGGTGTGGCAAATAGTTAGCAGCAGTTTCATGTGATGCTGAACACTCAAGGCATTAGCTGTATGCTACTTGTCACAGTTACAGGACACTGTCCGTCACTGTCTGCCACTAATCAGCTCCTTGCGTTCAGCCGCTGTCTGCCACTGACCACCTCCTTGCTTCCAGCCACTGTTTGACAGTGTCCAGCGCTTTGCTTTCAGCCAATGTCTGCTACTAATCAGCTCGTTATTTCCAGACAATGACTGCCACTATCCAGAGCCTTGCTTCTGACTGCCACCCAATTTCTGATAGTGCTTCTTGCGGTTGCGGCCCAGTGCATCCTGGGCCTTCTTCCGCTCCTCCTCGCGCTTCTGCTGCATCTTCTTGTAGTTGTCCTTCGCCTTCAGATGCTTCTTTCTGTCATGCTCCTTGTGCATGACGTGCAGCTGCTGCATCAAGGCATTCACCTGCAGTAGAACACCATACATGTGCAACATGGACAAAGACGCGATTTAGAACAACCAACAAACTCTACATAGGCCTAAGGCTGCAACCACACTAGGTACAAAATCACGTACAAACGGCATTACAGTAGAAATCGTCATGCCGACGCGTGCGAAATGCAAAATGCGCTTTGTAGGTTTTCAGCAACTGGCGCACCCCTGTAGAAAGCCACGTTTGTCGTTTTCGTCGTTTTCGCGCTCCATCTCCTGTGTACAACTTTGTTTTTGTACCTGGTCGTCGTACATAGCATCAGCATCAGCATTGTTTTTGAATTTCCCGGTCTTTTCCAGCGCATGGCACGCGCTTTGGTACGACAACGTCACGTGCTGGTCGCGTGAAAACGTCATCTATGCAGACTGAAAAGTGTAGTGTGTTTGCGTACCGACATGTACTGAGATAGGCATGAAAATTTGTACTGTGATTTTTACGTAGTGTGGTTGTGGCCTAAAACAAGTGGTGACATAACACTGTAAGCAACACACTTGGAGCTGAGCCCAAACAGCCATGGCATCCTTTGCATCTTTTACTGCACGGTTGGTGATGGGTTTATATGTGCAGTGCAGGATAGTGCCTTGAAGGGTACATACCTTGCGCTGCGCACTGTCGTGTACAACGTGCTGAGGTTTGAGCTGAGAGCGTTCGCTCTTCCCGATCCAGTCCTTCTCGCGAGATTTGAACGGCAGCTGCTTCTGCAGAGACTTGGGCACCTGGAAAGGATTAAAGCGGCGTCTCTCGCGGACAATGGGCTGCACAAAGGGTGAAGATAATGAAAGACAACAAGCAGAGAATGAAGAAAGCAGTCATTGCTACGAGCCTATGACAAGATCAGATTGGAACGCCGCCAGATAGCCGGATAGCCGGACCACTTCTAGGAGAGTGCTACGTTCTACATGTACCACTATGTAACCAAACAAATCTCTTTTCTCTCTTTTGCATCTGCCATGAGTACATGCATGGGTGCATTGCATGGCACTAATACAGCTTTAGCTAGTGCAGTGTTCCAGGGATTACACACACATGAATAAAGCCATAACAGGCACGCTGTAGCCTTATGTTCCACTACGTGTAGTACAGTTGTGCTAGGTAAATTTTAATTTTTTTTCAAAAGTAGTGCCTTTTCAAAACTTTTTCCAGACCTGGAAAATTTAAATCTAAAATCCAAACTTTTTCCAAACTTCCTAACTTTGCTGCGGACCCTGGTAAAATCAGACCCCCGGTACGAAGCTGGCGCCCTGGACCAGTTCTGATTACATACACTGTTACTAGTACATCCAGCAGCGTTCACACCACTTCCAGGGCGTCGAGGGTCCTACAAGTCCAGGGCATCAAATATGAGCCCGTTGAGGTTGGATTTTACCTAGCACAACTGTAGAATGTGTGCTATGGTGGTAGGATAAATCAAAATTTAACACACTTACAGAGAAGTAATGTTGGGTAGCAGCAGACCAGCTTACCTTGTAGATGGAGTCCTTCTTCTGCTTGATGGTGATGCCCCGTTCGAATCTCATCTGTCCAACCGTGCGCATGCCCGTCCAGGACGACTTGTCCTCTTGCAGCAGTGATCTCACCATGTTGTAGTACTTCGGCACGTCGACGGGCACCCAGGCACGTACAAACACGATGTCTGCGCAAATACATGTGCACAGGCACAAACGCACACGCGCACACACGCAAGCACGCTTTCAGTCTCTTGCCGCATGTAATCTATAGTTTCTTGAGGAGGAGAGAAGCACTACACCACAAAATAAACAATACATTTATAACTATAGAAGTACCAAATGATGTTTTGGGGCTGAACTGGCAGCTTTACGATGTGACCTCACCCACACGTTACTGTGACACAGCTGCCAATAAGGATGCGGAAACAAGGCATCATGTCCACGGCAGAAGCATTGCCGCCAAGTCAGAATCCATCAGCAATAATTATTATTGCAGCCGGGGTCATCCAGCATGGCACCGAAGCAGCTCTGGGTAGTCTGGGTGTGGAGAAACTTACAGTAGAGTCGCGCGCCCAAGAACGTTGTTTCCAAGGGGTTAGCCTGGGACGTTCTTATTTTTTCAGCAATCTGGCAGTGTTCTTGTAACACGTTCTTAGAAACAATCCGTACTGAATCACAAGCTCCCAGAAAACCAACACCGCCGTTCTTAGCTTTAGGCTGTGGCGTTCTTAGTATTCCAGGCTGGACGTTCTTGGGCTCCACATTCTTCAGCGCGCGACTCTACTGTACTTCAGCAAGTTAGGCTATACCGTGATAGGACGCGACTCACCACTCATCAGCAACTTGTCCTCAAACGTGGCTCTGAAAGCACCAATAGGCTTCTGCAACACACACACACACACACACACAAACACACACACACACACACACACAGTTAAGAACTCAGATGGTGGACCAAGGAAAAATGTGTAACATGGAAATTGTGGGCACAAGTTACGCCGTGGAATGTCTCAGTACTCCTCGTCAGTTTTGTGCTAGATTGCGCACGTCTGACTGTTCAAAATCTGGTTTAGTTGGTGGACTCGATCGCATAACTTGTGCCCACAATTTCCATGTTACAGTATTGTCAGTTTGATTTACAATGAAAGATAATACACGGAAAACCCCACACACACCATCCTCAAAGCAAGTGGTCTCTTCGCTGCACTATTTCCAAGAGTCCATAATCCCCCAAAGTGCGCAACTTCACTGATCATATCTGGGACGGCGAAATCCGTGTCGCACGTCATAGTGTGACATCATGAGTAAGGGAAGTGTGTTTGGGTCTTGATTCCGTGGTGGACCGCGTCGACGGAATGACGCAAGTCCGACCCAAAAAAATGACGTACATCACGGATTACGCCGTCCCACAACCCCATCCCAGTTGCGCACTCTGGGGTATTATAGACTCTTGCCATTTCTCAATCGGCCAGGAGCCATCATCAGGAGGTGGAGCTTGCGCACCTTACGAAATGAAAGACAATACCAATTAATACAAAAACAATATACTAGCACCCAGTCATATCTAGTAGCAGCAGCAACAGAAGCAGCAGCAGCAGTGTGCATAGAGAACACAGGTCATATGTATCAGGACTGGCTTCACATCACATGTACACATACCTTGATAGATTTCTTGATCTGTCCTCGGATACCACTGACTGTACGAATGGCAGCACCTTCAAACTTGGATACTTCCAGATCGCTCTGAAACATACCCTGAACAAAAAGCAGGTTGAAAACACAAAATGTTGGCATGTGCGCTCCTTTTCAGGAACTTGATGATTCATTGGAGTCACACAATAACATTCCAGCATCCATATTGATAATATCTCTCAATGCAACAGAACAAGTGTGCGTGTGTGTGTGGGGGGGGGGGGGTGCAAAGGCTGCTGACAGACGGTGGTTAGAGTGTGTGTGTGTGTACGCATGTACATGACTTGATTGTATCTGCTTGTCACACCGGCTGTCTGAACACAGCAGAGCGGTTGCACGAATACATGCACGCAGGCAAACAAGAGTGTGTACTCGTGGCTGTTCATACCTTGATGAACGCCGTGTTCTTGAAGATCTTCGTCGGTGTGCCGACAAGTTTGAGTTTTTTGACAACGTTCGGTGACTTCTCCATCTCCAATATCACACCCACTGCAGCGATACGGAACTCACGCTGGACAGAGCAAAACACACACAAACACTCAGCCAACCCAATAACAGCTCAAAACGGGTTTCTTCCCTAACAAAGTCTTCAAAGTTTTAGCCTGATCCAGCAGCCCAGCAGGCAAAGCTATCGCAGATGTAGGCCATTCCTAGCAGTAGAACCCATCTGTCGACATGAAGTACAACACAAACTCAAGGGTGGACTGCATCTTCTGCGACTTTCATGCTTTGAGCCCCGTTTAAAAACGCCTTGTTATTATTGACTGGACTTTATTGCGATCGGTTCAACCTGTCACTCTGACTTCCACTGATGAAACCTAACAAGGCTGAATGAGCTAGCTGTTGGGAGATAGAGTCTCCTCTGATCACAGATATACATGTATCAACCTGATTGGTTCTACAGTTCTACAGCTCTACAGTCTACTACATTGTACTGCACACATAGAGGAACTGCATGGACTTCCAAGTACTCTCATTTCAGAAATTTTAGGTGCTCAATATGTTCGGTATGAGGGCAAAAGGCCAGGTTAGGTGAACAGAAATTTTAGGTACAGAGAAGCAGTTCCGTATTGGATTATTTGTGTTAGTGTTTGTTCGGTGTATTGGAATTTTAGGTGTGAAACAGACGCACCGAAAGTACCGGATATAAAAGTACACGGAAAATTTGTGAAATGACAGTACTTGTAGTGGATAGTGGCATAAGCTGAGAATGAAGATGCATGTACTACCAGGACAAACTGAACAGATTCATGGCATTCTAAACTTACTACGCCAAAGTTCAACGACTGGATGGCCAGAAAACCAGTACCCGGCGGCGTGATCGGACCTACACACACACACACAAACACACACACACACACACACACACACACACACACACACACACACACACACAGACACACACAGACACACACAGACACACACACAGACACACACACAGACACACACACAGACACACACACAGACACACACACAGACACACACACAGACACACACACAGACACACACACAGACACACACACAGACACACACACAGACACACACACAGACACACACACAGACACACACACAGACACACACACAGACACACACACAGACACACACACAGACACACACAGACACACACAGACACACACAGACACACACAGACACACACAGACACACACACACACACACACACACACACACACACACGAACACACACACACACACACACAGAAGCACACACACACATACACACACGCACACACGCAATTCAAGCAGCATAAACAAACACGCACAAACTTTCCAATAGTGTACAGTCAACCTAGTGAGTAACAACTTCGCCTATAACAACAACTCACGAATAATGACACTATCGTCAGAGCTAGTAGCCATTCGAATGCACGCTGTCAACCTCTCTACTCATGAATAACGACAACTCACGAAGAACAACACTTTTGTTAAATGCGATCGAGGGAGAGGGTTATTCGCAAGACTGAGTGCACATAACATACTACAGTAACAGACTTACCAACTACAGGTAGAAGCTACACAAGTCTACAGATTACCAACTACAGGTAGAAACTACACAAGTCTACAGATACATGTAGAATCTAAACCAGCAGATTATGCAGCATACTGTAAGAGTACAGTGCCTGGACCTGTCGAAGGCCCATCATGGCCTTACAGGCTCAAACGCATAGTTACAGTACAGGATCACTGCATTGGGCCGTCAAACGCACCACTACATACACACATTGCACGCCACACTGTATACGAGCAAGTAATCTATAATAATGATAGAAGTAAGCAAGATACCCCTTGATCTGATCTGCTGGTGGAATACAAGGCACACACACACACACACACACACACACACACACACACACACACACACACACACACACACCACACCACACACACACACACACACACACACACACACACACACACACACACACACACACACACACACCAAGAGGACTGCACTGTATTGTGTACATACCATACATGGTTGCAGTGCAATGCATATGCTCGGGTGTATACTTGAGGAAGCGCTGCCTCAGATTGTGCTCCTCCGAGCTGTACACAGGAACGGTCTGGTAACGGCGCCAGCCCAGCGAAATGATCAGTGGATCACGTGTCTTCAATATACGCTTGTGCCATCGGTGCTTCTTGATTCGACCCTACACAATGCAAAACAAGGGAGTGTCGTAATAGAAAATAGTGCAACACACACACACACACACACACACACACACACACACACACACACACACACACACACACACACACACACACACACACACACACACACACACACACACACACACACACACACACACACACACACACACACACACACACACACACACACACACACACACACACACACACACACACACACACACACACACACACACACACACACACACACACACACACACACACACACACACACACACACACACACACACACACACACACACACACACACACACACACACACACACACACACACACACACACACACACACACACACACACACACACACACACACACACACACACACACACACACACACACACACACACACACACACACACACACACACACACACACACACACACACACACACACACACACACACACACACACACACACACACACACACACACACACACACACACACACACACACACACACACACACACACACACACACACACACACACACACTACTACTACTACTACTATAGCATGACTGCCCATTGGGCAATGTCACCCCCGGAGGGGGCCAGAGTTTGGAGTGCACCGTCATTGGCAGGACTTCTGGTGCCTCGTCAAATCTTGCTGTCGTCGGAAACGTTTCGGGCAATGCATGCAGATCAGCGGCAGTGATTCCCTATCGGCTGCAGCAAGACGTTTTCCACGGTTGCAGTTATGGCGGTTAAAACCAGCCCGGGACTTGAAGCAGCGATTGCAGCGTTGACAATGCTGGAAGCAGCAACTAGCGAGAGACGCCGTCAATGCCGTATCTGCATGTTCAGGGAGTGCAGGCTGGCAGCGATGAACTGCAAGCCCACCCTTACTGCGGAACCATCGGCAGCAACTGACGCACTGTGCTGAACCACGCTGTTGGTGGACGGGAAGTTGGCGCTCAGCCAAACACTTGTGCCGTGCCTTGTCTTGAGGACGAGAGAAAGCCCGGTTGCAAGATGAGCAGAGTACGGATTTCTCTACTGCCCGAGGAGGCTGAAAAACCAGAACCTGCTCTCGCCAAGCTGACCGGTCTTGTGCGCAATCAAACCAGTTTGGAATGGACTTCGTGTCAGTAGCCACAACGTCTCTCCACCTACGCCTGGGACCGCAGAAGGGGCGCGCAGCCAACAAACGACCAAACAACAGCTGCAATGGGACACGGTCCTCCGACATCCGAGCCACATGACCAAGCCACTCTAAACGACGATGGCGCATCTTAACAGAGAGTGGCACTGGGTCACCCCAGTGACGACGTAACTGCGCAGACGTGATGCGATCGGATTGCTGCTGACTGCGAGGGATGGCTAATATTGTGCGGATGCAGCGATGATGGAAGGCATCCAAACGTCTACTATCAGCTTTCAAGGGCGTCCAGCACTCACTGCCGTACAGCAAAATGGACAAGACACAGGCCACGTATAGCTTTCGCTTACTGACTAATGACAGCGAGCGATCCGACAAGACTGGAAGAAGAGCTCCAAAGGCTTTGGAAGCCTCAGCTATGCGGCGACTGACGTCAGTAGAGGAGCGGGCATCCGGTGTCACGACGGACCCCAGATAAATGAAGGATGGAACGTGCTCCACAGTATCACCGTTGACGTTCATATCGGCTCTATCAGGCATGTTGACTTGGCTACCTGCCACGAGAAATTTCGTTTTAGCAGCGTTGACGCAGAGGCCAAAGGAAGAGGCAACCGTGCAGAATGTTTCAAGGCACTTCTCAGCACCAGGGCGGTCTTCAGCGAGCAAGACCGCGTCATCTGCGTACTCAATGTCGTTGATGATTGCGGCAGTAGACTGGCGAGCGGGCTTTGAGAAAAGGTTGCCATTGATGCTAAATTGGATGGGGATGCCAGGTGGATGGTCGCTGTCCTGCATCACTTGTGCCCACCGCTCAAGCACAACACCGAAGTACAGATTAAAAAGTACTGGGGCCATCACACAGCCTTGACGGAGGCCATTGTTGACCGCAAACGGCTCGGTAGTGCTGGCACCGACGCGCACAGCTGCCTGCATGCTCTCGTGGAACGATTGGATTAGATTGAGGAGCCCTTCAGGAATGCCTAGCCTCCCCAATGCTAGCCAGAGTGCTTGGCGTGGTACGGAATCATATGCTTTCTTCAGGTCTACGAAGACACAGAACAGCTTCTGACGGTGCTCGTACGATTTCTCGATGAGCTGGCGAATGGAAAAGATGGCATCAGCGCAGCCGCGACCAGGGCGAAAGCCACACTGGGATTCTGGAAGTTCTTGTTCCGCGACAAGTTGGAGACGGTCCTGAATGAGACGGCCACAAACCTTGCCAGCGACATCTAGGAGGGCAATGCCGCGCCAGTTGTTGCAGTTGGTCAAGTCACCCTTTTTGGGAATCGGGACGAGTTGGGCATCCCGCCAATCCTGGGGAACCGTTCCGTTGGTCCATGCAGTGTGAATAACATCAAGCAGAGCCTCAAGCAATGGTGTACCACCAGCTTTAAGCAGTTCAGGTGCAATTCCAGATGAGCCAGGAGCCTTGCAATTAGCCAGCTGGCGTATAGCCATAGTGAGGTCCTCTAGCGAGGGAAGTTGGCCGAGTGACTCATCAACTTCACGCTGCTCAATGTGGTCAAAGATGGTAGCATCGAAGGTGCTGCGAATGTTCAATAGACGGGCAAAATGCTGCAGCCAGCATTTCTCTTGCCCCTCCTGGGAGCTACAGATAACTCCGTCACTGTCACGGATGGATGGAATGGAGATAGGTGATAGTCCCGAATAGCACTTCTGTATATCACGGATTGCAGACCATGCGTGCTTGCCACTAAACCGGCTTGACTCAACCACATTAGCTTTACGTCCAATCCACTCACTCTTTGCGTTACGCACGGCAGCTCTGCACTTGCCACGAGCCTCGACAAAGCGACGCCTGTCAGCGTCAGAACCAGAGGCGAGCCATTTGCGATGTAAGGCATTGCGGCTATCCAGCATAGGTGCAAGAACATCAGCACACGCTTCAAACCAATCAGGCTGGCGACGACGTGGACGGCCAAGATGCTTCTCAGCGCTGGTGACGATAGCAGATTTGATGGCAGACCATTTGTCCTCAACGCAGCCATCATGATTCCAGGATCGTAACTCTGACGCAACAGACGTCGCATATTGCTCACGAGTTTTACAGGTTGCAGCTCTCTGCGCTTCCGTCATGCAGGAGTGTTTGACAAGTTGTTGCACATCAAACTTGACAGGTCTTTTTGCACGCTTGTGGCAAGCAGATGAGCGGATGCGGTATGTGAGACACACAAGGTTGTGATCTGTACTACACTCAGCTCCCCTGATGACATGGCAATCCATGCAGTTGGACAGGTCTTGTTCCCGGACCATTGCATAGTCGATGCAGTGCCACCGCTTCGAGCGGGGATGTTGCCAGGTACACTTGTGGATGTTACGTTTCATGAACCAGGTGTTGCACACAGTAAGGCTGTTGCACGCTAAAAACTGGAGAAGCTCAGCGCCAGCCTCATTGACAGTGCCAACACCATGTGGGCCACGTGTTCCATACCAGCCATCGTCACAGATTTCAGCTCCAACTCTAGCGTTGAAGTCTCCCAAGATTATCAAGGAGTCCTGGGTGGGTACGGACAGAATAACTTCCTGAAGAGAGTCAAAGAAATCGTTCTTTGCATCGCGACTGGACCGGAAAGTCGGTGCGTAGCACACCACGACGTGGACCCAAATGTCACCGAACTTTAGCTTGCAGCGTGCTACACGCGATGAGACAGCAGACCACTGATTTCCCCCTGCTACGAACGCTTGCTGTGCGCGTCCGCGTAGTACGACTCCAACTCCTTCGCCTCGTTTGAAATCGTCCGTTGGGATGGCGCGACCTGACGTGAGAACAATTGCATCCTCGACACGGAATATATCTTTACCAAACCACTTCGACTCCTGGAATCCAGCCACTTCTATTTCGTACCGACGAAGTTCACTGACAACGATGTTGATTTTCTTGTCTTCCACGACGCGCTTTCCACGAGCAGCAGTTGAAACCGGGCCATCGATGTTCACTAAAGTCCTGACGTTCCACGAAGCAAATTTGACAAGAGCACCAGCTGGGCGCCTCCGACGGGTGCCTCCAAACTCTGCTGCTTTGAAGCTGAAACTCTACACATCCGAGGGGTAGCTAGCCCACTGCGGATGGAGGACTACGGACGACGCGACAGTGACAATATCAAATTCAAATAATTGTCCTGTAAGTCACGTCGTTGGATCCGCTGCCCTAAATTCAAAAGGTCTACACTTGACACGCCAGGGGCTCTCCTAGCAAGCTAGGAGAGCCCTGAGTGTACCTACGCTGCTTCGGAGGCTCTAACTAGTCTCAGCAAATAGAAAAATTCCGGAGCTAGAAAAATTCAAACTGTCCCCCAAGAAGACAGTCAACACACACACACACACACACACACATACACACACACACACACACACACACACACACACACACACACACACACACACACACACACACACACACACACACACACACACACACACACACACACACACACACACACACACACACACACATCGACATCAACACAAGATAATCTTCAACCCCTCGGCACACTGAAGAGTTGTCAGTTCTAGACGACAGCATTTGTTGGTAATGAACAAACATCATGTTTACGCCCGACTCTACTTTGCCTTTCAAAGCCAGCATTTCTGTTTCTGTTACCGTCTCCCTCCCAAGTGCATACACAATGCTTTGCAATACCGGTACACCAAGAACATTGCATTCATGATCCAGTTACACTTACGCGTATATAGCCAATGTTCTGTTCACCACTGAGCAGACCGCCGATGATAACCGGGTAGCGCGGGTCAAAGTTTTCCACAAACTCGCAGGGCATACCGCGAATCTGGACACAAAACACAACCAGAACACAGAAGAGAGAGAGAGAGAGAGAGAGAGAGAGAGAGAGAGAGAGAGAGAGAGAGAGAGAGAGAGAGAGAGAGAGAGTCCAGACAGCTGACTACCTAACTATATCATACACCTACAAGACAAGAAAGTCCGTCTTTTCATAATTCGTAAGGCGGACATCGCCAAACGTGCCGGTACGCGGTCCCAAGGAAAAATAATAATATTCAATAGCAATGTGAAAAACATTGTGGGCACTTCATAAATCAGAAACGAAACTCGGAATAAACAACTTAGTTTGGGCCAATAAAACTATTACAATGTACTCTCAAGCCGCTTTGGATAGTCCCCACGTAAGCGGGCCTTAAAACCCATCACAGATGGAGAAAGCCTACGTCTCCGAAATGGAGGTCCTATCGTGCGAAACCTCCTTGTTGTCATCCCAACGGGCAGGATTACATCACTGATTCACAAACACAAGTTACACAACATATGCAAACAAAGCCCAAGCGACACCCAGCTAGTCCTCACCTCAAGTCGCACGTAGGAACCAGGACGGTAACCTTCGAGTTGTGCACGAGTTTCATCATCGACACCATCGAAAAGTGTACGATTGCGCTGCACAAATCCAGCAAAGGACAGAGGAAGAGTGAACGAATGAGGTTTTAATACAATAAAAATCATCAAGAGCTTGCCAATGAGGTCAGTGTTTAATTACTGACACAATACAGTACAATAGACTACAGAACAGAACTGCGAATGGCCAGTAAGGTCCCATTGATGGCGACCCACATCTACGCCACAGTGGCAAATGATGTGACGAGACACATGTTTAGGCGGTTGAATGGCGTTACAGGCCAGTCTCCACTCAACAACCGGTCTCAGGTTGCAGTCAGGAACACGATTTTCAATGCAGTGTGTCCTCCGCCTTGTGATGTGCTGTCATCATCATACCATATAGCCATGCAGCCATGGGTAAACCATGCACATATACACTATAAATCAGTAGTGTCAGCGTACCTCGGATTGCTCTGTGACTTCCTGCTTCATATCATCATAGAATGCGGTTTCACCGTCTCTCTGTTCTGGCCTATCAAGGAAGAGAAGGGACACAGATCATGATAATCATCATCATCATCATCCACAACTGTGCCATACGAGTATACTATGTAAAAATTACTCACAAACCCTATAAATACGCAGCAGTACATGCATAGCATTGCACGATTTACTTTACAGCAGCAATAGCAGCAGCAGCAACAACACACTGTACATGTAGCAACAACACACTGTAGCAACAACACACTGTAGCAGGAACACACTGTAGCAACAACACACTGTAGCAACAACACACTGTAGCAACAACACACTGTAGCAACAACACACTGTAGCAACAACACACTGTAGCAGCAACACACTGTAGCAACAACACACTGTAGCAGCAACACACTGTAGCAACAACACACTGTAGCAACAACACACTGTAGCAACAACACACTGTAGCAGCAACACACTGTAGCAACAACACACTGTAGCAACAACACACTGTAGCAGCAACAACACACTGTAGTTGCTACAATACTTACTCGGTACCCTGCTTCTGCATCTTCTTGATCTTTTCCTCTCTCAGTCGCCGGCGTGTGTCTTCTTGGCTTTCACCAGGACGAGGGCCACTGTCACTGGCGCTGTTGCCAGCACCACCAGCACCACCAGCACCGCTACTATCTCCAGTGCCTGTGGACATCTCATCGGATGATGACTCATCGTCATCATCTGACATGTCAAAGTCATTGTCGCCTGCTTTATGCACTTCACCAGTCTCCATATCCTCAAAGTCACCAAATAGCTCTGTAGAAGCAGTAGCAGAAATAAGAAATGCAGTCATCCACCATCCAATAAACAAACATGCATACATAATCTTATTCACTCACTCACTCACACACACACACACACACACACACACACACACACACACACACACACACACGCACACACACACGCACACACGCACACACGCACACACGCACACACCCACCCCATTGGACGCCCATCGCCAGAGGCGATGATAGCGATGCTACAGCAGAAGCCATAGCAGCTTGTGCTGGGATTGCACCATTCAACAGCTTGCAAGGCTGAAGAATTGACCGCCACTATTCAGCCTGGTCTACACCACACAGCTATGAAGTGGCTTTTCTGGCCAGTGAATCCCTACTTTTTGGTCTTTTTTTTATTTTTTCCCGCACACACATCACACCACATACTCCGGCATGCACTGGCTGTTGGTAACCACCCAGGAGAATGAAAGAAAAGTAAGGAAGAGCCTGAGAAAGAGAAGAAAGACGTGTGTGACCATAATCGTCAGGAATCAAACCCGCAACCTATCGACACACACACACACACACACGTGCGCGCACGCACGTCCACACTCTCCCTCCCTTTCTCATAAACATACACAAACAAACACACAAACTCTCTCTCTCTCTCTCTCAGCCGGTTCTCCTCCTGTGTGCTACATACTGGTACTTGTCGTTTGATTGACAGCATGTTACAAGGCGGAGGATGCACTGTGTTGAAAACAGTACTCCCGCAACACAGTGCGTCCTCCGCTTTGTAACATGCTGTCACCAAACAAGGCTTACCTAATACTGGTGCTCCTACAAAGACAACACGGCATTAGTCACTATCACACTGTCTTATCCTGGTAGAGCTGAGCTAGCAAAGACCAGCAGCACTATACACAAGTAGCTACTTGTAGAATGAACTTAACAGGACATCTTCATGTACATGTACGTGTATCACTACTCCCTTACCATCATCAGAGCCAGCGCCATCTTGCATCATAGCCCTCAGCTCTGCATCAGCGGCATCACCAGTCACAAACAGATTCTTCAGCTTGACCATGCACTGCACACGAAGAGCACAATAAGAAACAGCATACAATAGAGCTCACCGATGACATCCACACAGGGTTGCTCACTGTCCGTCTGTCTATCCGTCCATCTGCCCACCAGTGCATTTCATGAATTTCTTGGCTCGGTCTTGATCCAGGAGGGTGGTGGTGTTCCTGCGGACGCGGAAAACTGGGCCTTTGGCCGAGTCTCAAGCGAACTATGAATTGTTATTTTTGGCTCGGCCTGTGCTGGAGCGTTGTTGTACGGATATCAAGCTTTTGCCGAGCTGTCTGTCTGTCTATATGTCTGCCTGTCTGTCTGTCTGTCTGTCTGTCTGTCTGTCTGTCTGTATGTCTGTACGTATGTATGTCTGTACGTATGTATGTATGTATGTATGTATGTATGTATGTATGTATGTATGTATGTATGTATGTATGTATGTATGTATGTACAGTCAACTTCGCTTATAACGACACTCAGCGGGGCATCAGAAAAGTGTCCTTATTCGCGAAGTGTCGTTATACCCGAAGTCTCATTATACGTGTCACAGTTGGATGGGACTTTGCTCTGGGCATGACAATTATGTCGTTATTCGCGAATTGTCGTTATATCCGCAGTCGTTATTAGCGAAGTTGACTGTATGTATGTCTATATGTCTGCCTGTCTGTATGTACGTATGTATGTCTGTCTGTCTATATGTCTGCCTGCCTGTCTGTATGTATGCCAGCGAACCTTCACGTCTATCAGTGGAAGGACTCGACACAAGTGCAAACTGACTGACATCCAAACTACAGCGGCACCACCCCTGGAGTGCTCCGCCTGTCACCGGAACTTCCGCTCGACTAGCGGCCGGACACGCCACCGATGCGGCAGGGTGACTAGTACCATTTGACTTGTCCCTTCGGGGACTGCGTAGCCAGACTTGGCAGCAGGATCAAGATCAAGATCAAGATGTATGTATGTATGTATGTATGTATGTATGTATGTATGTATGTATGTATGTATGTATGTATGTATGTATGTATGTCTATCTATATGTCTGCCTGTCTGAATGTATGTATGTATGTCTGTCTGTCTGTCTGTCTATATGTCTGCCTGTCTGTCTCTATGTGTGCCTGTCTGTCTGTCTGTCTGTCTGTCTGTCTGTCTGTCTCTATGTGTGCCTGTCTGTCTGTCTGTCTATCTATATGTCTGCCTGTATGTATGTATGTATATATGTAAGTATGTAAGTATGTATGTTTTGCGTCTACACGTGGCCGCGCCCGTCATCGCTGCTCACGGACTTGTAGTCGTCCAACCGTTCAGGACCGTCAGGGTTTCAAATGTATTTGCGCCTGCTCCCGCCGATTTCGTTTACCGCATCACCTGAATCGTCACAGGGCTGTGTGTTCCTCCTCTCTCTCAGCTGCCCCTCCGGGGCCCACATAACCTTCATGGCAGTGGCTCAACAGGACAGGATGTATGTATGTATGTATGTATGTATGCAGAGCTCACTGACTCGTCAGTTTGAGCACTCTGGCAAGGTACGTTCGGGCCTGATTGGAAATTTTTATTTCCATTGCTATCAGGTTCGGCCTCATTTTCTCTGTGCTGCGCTGACGAGTCCACAAAGGACGAAACAGTTCTGTCCGCAGATTGAGTATGTATGTATGTATGTCTATATGGCTGCCTGTATGTACGTATGTCTGTCTGTCTATATGTCAGCCTGTCTGTCTGTCTCTATGTCTGCCTGTCTGTATGTATGTCCGTTCATCCATCAGTCTCCCTCTCTAGGTTATCAAGTCATGATCCGGCACATTCCAAGATGGCTGTTCAGGCAACACTCACTCACCTCGTCATCCCATACGGTGGTGGGAGCACAATACCGAGACGAATCGCGGCCATGGAACCGACCTGGTGCGCACACCTGCTCATCGAGAGGCCGCTCGGATATCGTACCGCTCATCTCCGCTTGGCTAGTCTCTCCGACTGACTTGCGTGTTATCAGCAGCGTATCATCATCATCAGCCTTCTCATCTTGACTTTTCTCTTGACTTGAGCCACCCTTGGCAGGCCCTGCGGTGTTCATAAGCAGCATAGGAAATGCAGAGGCGTGTAGCCTATTGTAGGACAAACTGACAAACATCTACAATACTAGTACACAGTGGTAAGTGACAGTAACTATATCACTCACAAGGTCAGCGTGTGAACACCGACATGACAGGGATATCAATACTTGCCACAAATGCATTTCACTCGCATGTATGAATATGCACGCACACACGCAAGCACACACACACACACACATACCTTGTCCATAAACGATTTTCTGCAGGTTTTGAGCCGTCTGGGAGCGGAGGCGGAAGGCGGCAGCTGCTTTCGACCTGAGGTTCTCCTTCCATTTGAGAGAGCCTGTAAAGTGCAAGAGAATACAGCACGATGACATCATACAATGCACACCAACACAGTCATACACACAGACAGACGAAACACAACTAGAAATCAACAACAGATGCACAATGGTACCATTTCAGTGAGGTTCTTTAGCTACTTTGAAGTTGTACTATCCAAGACAGGTGAAGACCAGACAAAGTACATGAACAGAGGTTGCGAAACAAAACGTTACCATACCGATTTCACTGATGTCTCCTTCTTCGTTGTCATCGTCGTCGTCGTCATCATCATCATCCTCATCGTCATCCTCTTCCTCTTCACCACTGGTACTCTCCTCATCCTCGGAGCACATATCGTCATCGTCATCACTGTCATCCTCATCCTCATCGCCGTCATCATCTGTTCCGAACTCCATGGACTCTTCATCGCCAATGCTCTCATCATCACTGTCGCCTTCCTCTTCTTCGTCTGAATCATCATCATCATCCTCATCCTCATCCACATGCTTATCATCACCAAAGATAGCACGTCGACGCACACGGCCGTCTTTGTCCACAACTTCAACCGAGCGTGGCATAGCCATACTAGAGTAAGAGTAAGAGAGAGAGAGAGAGAGAGAGAGAGAGAGAGAGAGAGAGAGAGAGAGAGAGAGAGAGAGAGAGAGAGAGAGAGAGAGAGAGAGAGAGAGAGAGAGAGAGAGAGAGAGAGAGAGAGAGAGAGAGAGAGAGAGAGAGAGAGAGAGAGAGAGAGAGAGAGACAGGCAGACAGAGAGATCAAAACAAAGCCTCACCTACGTATACATGTAACAGAATCCATTCACCCACTCCAACTGGCAATGAAGTGTGAAGCACACGAGTACATGTACAATCATGTACTGACAAAATTATAAAGCGCACATACATACGCACATGTGCACATCATGTGTCCGTACCACACCACCCTTGCTGCTCTAGCCTGGTCTACACAACATGATGATTGGTACAAGAAGCCTTTCCTGGCCAGTGCCCCACCACCATGTGTAATTGCATGCACACACACACATACATAGACAGGCTACACTAGCAGTGCATGATATTATAGTAAAGGTAGTACAGGTAGTACTAGTAGCAAGAGTACATAACCCCCCAGAGTGTGCAACGCCTGATCCAGCTCTGCATAGGGTCTTGGTCGAGCGGAATCGGATCTTTGCGTCATAATACCGTACACATCTGAGGGGAACCCGGGGAGTCGCGGGTACTCTTGGATCAAAAACAATGGTACCCTGCCTCGAGACCGGCCTTGCGCTGGTGTGGAGTGTACGCATGACATCAGAAGATCCGATTCCGCTCGACCAAGACCCTATGCAGAGCTGGATCGGCGTTGCACACTCTGGGAGGTTATGTTATGTACTCTTGGTAGTACTGTAAAAGCCATTATTCTAACGAGGCGCATATATAACGATTTCCCAAAAGTGACTAGTTTACGTGTACAAAAGGTAACGATTTTCACTCATTCTCAACGCTCAATAGGATAGCATATGAATCGATTTCTGTACAACGATTTCTATTTTAACGACAGATTTCTCCTCGTTAACTCGTTAGAGTTAGCACTTCGTTATATATACAATCAACTTTGCGAATAACGACACTTGGCGGGGCATCAGAAAAGTGTCCTTATTCGCGAAGTGTCCTTATATCCGAAGTCCCATTTAAATGTATGCGAACCCATATTTTGTATAGTATGACATGCATATCAAAATGAAGCTCTTTTCATGCTCTATGTCGATACTTTATTTTTATATTACAATTGAAAGGAACAAAATAAGAAAGAATAAGTGAGTAAGAATAAGTGAATGGGTACAGTGAGGGCTGCGTCCCACCCGCCTGTGTGGATTCACAGGAAGTGTGAGTTACGAAGTCTGAAGAAAATGTTGAACAGTCTCTGCTGGGATGACGACTACACCATAGCTCAGTGGTTAGAGCATCGCTAGCTACAAGCGAGGGTCCCTGGTTCGAGTCCTGGTGGTGACAGTCAATTTTTTCTTCAGACTTTTCCCGTTTGTCTCTTTCCCTCAAACTAGTGAAAACTAGTGAAAGGAACTACAAAGTCAATATGCAAGGGAGATGGATTGAAAAATTAGCCTTTTGGAACCACCTACGGGGACATGCCATGTACTAGTACATGTACGATGATTACTGTACAATCATTGACATTGTACAACTACATGTACAGTCAGTTTCAAAAAGATTAGCAATCCTGGTGATCGCCCGGGGAGTTTGCCGTCTTACCGTATGAGCGCTCGAGCGCTGCCTGGAAAACTCACTGTGAACTCGAAGAAATATTCCGCGCGAAAGCATGAAAAATGACAACTCACTCAGGTCGATGTCGGTACAGTCGTGTACGTCTGGTTCACAACAAACGAGTTCTTCCTCGTATCGATTATGTAGTCAGAGAGGACATGTCGAAAGTGTAGTAAATGCCGAGGCTGACGAGCGGCATGGGTCCCGATATGTTTTGTGACCAAATAGTTTCTTTGAGCTGCGATGCAGTTTACTCTCACCATGTGACGAAAACGACATCGACACAGACTCATTCCCAAGGCCATGACTTCGACAACATTTTGAGAAAAGCAGACACCTGTGGAAGCTGATAGAAGACGGCGTTGACTTCTAAATTCAAATAAATTGGCGATCTTGAAATACTAAATAATTCTCAAAAAGAAATCGATCGATCGATGTGCCGGTGTATTCAACACGTAGCTACAGCGCAATGACTTCCATATTCACTCACACCGTTTCAGTGTTGTGGGTGTGTTCACATGGCGTGAGCCAGTCAAGTGTCAGTCAGTTCGGGAGGAAGCGGGAGCTAGCTAACAACAACCGTGAACAACAACAAGTCTGCTTGATCACCAAAAAACAATGAAAAAAAATGTGAGTTGAAGATAGGTTGGGATTTGAACTCACAACTTCATGGTCAGCAGACAGCATGCATAACCACAAGGCCAGAAAGGAAAAGATAAATCGTGGGTTTTGATAGAAAAATCGATATTGGCTTCCAGGGCAAATTGCAAACCATGGGAAAAGGCCGGAAACCTGGCCGAAATTCTAACTCCTTAACGGCTGGTCCAATTGTTCCGAAACCTTCACAGAACAATTTGCCGTGCCCTAACCAGCCCGTTTATGTACTTTGTTGTCCAAATTTCCCTTATCTTCATACTTTTTAAGACCAAAACCTGATTGCTAATCTTTTTGAAACAGACTATAGTTATGCTGATCAGTGATCACTCCAATTATTTTGAAGCACCCCCCCCCCCCCCCTTGGCTGCATATTCTTGCATGTGTGCCTTTATCCATCGCCATGGGTTCTGGTACTTCTGCATGACAGGTACTTGAAATGGCTGTCAAAAGCCCAGAAAGTCGTTATTCAAGCAGTGAATATGACCTCGGGGCACTAAAAGTATGTCGCTATTCGCGAATTGTCGTTATTCAGATAGTCGTTATATCCAAAGTTAAATGTATACAGTTAGATGGGACTTTGCTCTGGGCATGGAAATTCTGTCGTTATTCGCGAATTGTCGTTATATCCGCAGTCGTTACTAGCGAAGTTGACTGTACAGCTTTTACAGTACTCGAATTTCAGAATTTAGGTGCTCAATATTTTCGGTATGAGGACAAAAGGCCAGGTTAGGTGAGCAGAAATTTTAGGTACGGAGAAACAGTTCCCTATTGGATTATGTGTGTTAGTGTTTGTTCGGTGTATTGGAATTTCAGGCATGAAACAGACACACCGAAAATAAAAGTACACCGAACATTTGTGAAATTACAGTAACCACCAAACCATACCTGCCTTTGCCAGAACCTGTAGAGTCACCCTGAATGCAGTAACACAGAGAACACATAAAAAGTAGAATGAGCATCGCTGCACATAAGCACATGTAAATAGCTCAGCTCTCCGGGGAGCACGCAACAACACAGCAACGCCGGCCCATGAAATATACTTTAGTTTTATGCCCGTCAACTGGCAACAAAAAGGTTTGTTGTTGTTGTTGTTTCGTTTAAAGCATTGGCAATGCTGACTTCTCACCGGAGAGCAGGGCTATCTGATTCCTACAAAACAAAAACAAGATGTGCAAGTGTACAATTATCCATAATATGTGTACGTGCCATGCATGAAAGCAACCCTGAGAGTGACTATCACCAGTATGATACGCTCTAGTGTAGTGAGACATTACAACAGGAGTATCATCCTTATCACCAAACACTAGCAGATACCACATCACATCACACAGAACACCCTAGCAGTACAGTACCTGGAACAACTGCAAGTCCTGCTGGGCTGTCTTGGAATGGAGATCATCAGCCGTATCCAATGTAGACACTAGGTCATCAGCAAGCAGCTGAATGTCAAGGAAAGGAAACAAATATAGAAATAAAGGATTAGTCGGCATTATTAACCCATTCAGCGCTACTGGGCCTTGCCTATGGTACTCTGCATATAAATGCTAAAAATAGGGCCGATAGCAAGTTCTAAAACTCCAGGGTTCTGGCAACTGGGGTCCTCAAATATTTTGGAAATGATTGCCAAGACTATCAACCACAAGGTGACAGAATCGATACAGTCCACAAAAAGAATAGCGCATCACAATAGAGGACGCAAGTTTGCTCAAATTGCGTGAAATACGCCAAATGCGTGAAATTGCAGCTGAAAGATCGCAGAAAAGAGAAGAAAAAAAAGACGCGTAGTGTTTCCAAGCGGGATTCGTGCCAACGACAGGATCATGATCCAACTGACTAACAGTGCTTTTACATACCAGAGAGTGCCAGAAATCACTATCTCTCAATTTGCTAAATCCTATAATTATATAGGATTTTGGTCATATTTTTCAACACAAAATGGGTGTGGAAACGTATGTGACCAATTCTTCCTTGCTAGGTCTTAGTAGATATTGAGAGTTGAATAAGATAACTTTTTCAAACACTAACATCTCAGGCTCATCTCCTTGCCCAATATTACTAAGGCCTGTGCCCTATTTTTCGAATCCTATATATAGGATTTGAGATTTTATTGGACCTTGTTTTATCCTTAAAACTGGTAGTTTCATGACGGCATGTGCGATATGTCGTCATGAAACCACCCCGTGCCACACCTGCAATGTTCTTCTGCACATTCACTGCTTCAGTCCTTTCCATGACAGCAGCTGAACAATTATGCTCAAATTTCAAATTATTGCTGAAAATGGGTATTCATCAGAAATATTATCGCCCTATGAATCTAAAATGTAAACATTCATGCCTCAAACATATTTACAACTTCCATGAAAACCATAATGCCATTATTATTGGTCGTGATGACCAATAACAACGGCATAAAACGCACATATTTTCAAATCCTATATAATATTATAGGATTTTGGGTCAGCAAATTAAGAGATATATCCCATGACGTCTATAGACGTCATCAGCGCATGAGGGGCATTTACGTCTATAGACGTCATCAGCGTTCAATGGGTTAAAACAAACTTGGTAGTGATGCTGATAAGCCTACAACAGAGATTGAGTGATCCAGGTGGGGGTGGGGGTAAATAGAAAAGTTGTTTGGCACGGATCGGATGATGATCTTGACACGTTATGCTGACATGCCGCCTTTTCGCAACATGACACCTCTGTACTCAGCAGAATCATCCACCACGTACTGTGAACGCTTTCAACGATGCACTGAAGTGCGGGTTGCCAAGGGACAAACTTGGAATGACAACAGTTGTTGCACGGGTTGGAAAGAACCACAAATAATCGAAGATGTTATCGATAATCAAATCGCTACAAGGATAGGTTAATGGATATGCAAAACAAACTGCAATCGCCTCACCCCTGCTAGAAACCACAACAATAATAGCGTTAACTCTACATACCGTTTTCTCGTTGACTTCTCCATCGGCATCAGCCTTGCTATGCAAGTCAACGTACACAGCATCCTGTACAGTGGACATAGACAGCAGGAACACATGCATGCAGTGATGAAACAAATCCATAATACACGTAGTAACATACCAACCTGAACGTCCTCCGCTGAGTCTGCTATCTTCTAAGCTCTGTCGATGACATTGAGCACTCTCTGCAGCTCGGGGATCAACAGATTTTGTATACTGTAAATATACAAAATTTCGGCGCTGCAAAATTTCGGCACTTCACGATTTTTGACATTTCGGCGGCGATTTATTTTCGGCGTGGGGTAGAGGGCATGGTATAGTGCGACAGATGCGGTGAACAATTTCATCGGCGTTTTAATTTAGGCGTTTTGGGTCGGTGCCGAATATAGCCGAAATTAAATAGCTGCCGAAAATTTGTATATTTACAGTAGATAATAGCACAATGTATACTACATGTGGCAGCATATCATCACAAGGTCTTACACTACAGAGAGTACACGTGTATAGAGGTGCTCATACTAGTCATAGCATGTACAAGAACACAGTTACTGAGCAGAAGAACTCCAATAGTCTGAGAGTACGCAACCTATAAAGTATATACAGTGAAGGAAAACTCATACCGGTACAGGTACACAGGAGCTAGAGCAAAATTCTGCTGTCGCTCAGAGCTGCCACGCTCAAAGCCATCCTCAGACAACACAATGCCTTATGGAACACAAGAGGGAGGCAGTGTACACGTAGTTACCTTGTCATAAACAACGCCACCAACGCCTGCCATAGGAGCGTAGATCTTCTGCTCACGATCATTCAGTGAGCGGCGCTTCTTTACGGCATCAGGCAGTGGGCATGGATCAGACAGTTCGGACACAGACGACAGCGGGAAGTCACCCACACCTGAAGATGATAAAAACGGCCAAACAGAATAGGAGACCCGCATCAAAGAAACACACAGCCACAAGTTCACACTAGGGGTGAAACGATTAGTTCGAATATTCGAGTATTCGTTCGAAAATTTCAAACGAGCGAGTATTCGAAATTTTGCACTCGATCGTTTTATTTTTATTTTTTTTTTTTAGGATTGGCATTGTATTTTGTTTAAACTTTTGTTGTACCGCTGGTACATGGTATGCATGCGTTTATTATTATAATATGCATGGCTTTGAGTTAGTATTTTAAGACTTGGACGATGCGATCACCACAGCAAGTAACGTTCTGAGATATGAAAGTACTGATGAAAATCGTTACTTTACACTCTGTACAAGACGTTGGCGACTTTTGTTCTATTTTCACAGATAATTTCTTCCGAATTGGTCGAGAACTTGCAAATCTAGCGCTTTTGAATTTTGATAAAATACTCGAAATAATCGGATACTCGATCGAATATTATGAACGAGTGATCGGTTGGTCAAAATAGATACTCGTTTCACCCCTAGTTCACACACACATGTACGAGCCACAAGCATGCATGCACAATGCTGGTACACATGGCTTATACACTGCACTGGGCCAACGGCCGCAAAGCAAGACATTCTGATACTAACAACGGAGACATGGTCTGGTCCCCAATCAGTCATGTTAAACAGTGGTCCGGAGTGGGTCGCACTGTACATATGAATACTCACCAGCCAGATGAACAGATGAGCCGTCTTTCAGATGTGTGCCACGTACATAACCGTACAGAGACACTGTCCGATTGCATTTCTCATCGGCTCGGATAGTCTCCGGGTCCGTCAAGTCTTCAAATCTGGAAAAACATTCAAACAAGAGCAACGAGCAAGAAGCCTAACAACCTGGAACTACAACGATATGATGGTGTGGTGTTGTGTAGATGACACAGTAACACTGGACTCTGGGTTAGAATATATACACCACACATCACACCATGGTCATCGTATGAACTATGAATACACACCATGGTCATTGTAGGAATACACACACCACGGCCATTGTATGAGAGAAACCCGCAGGACTGGTGCAACGGGTCCGACTTGTTAAAGCTTGTTACGGCTACGGCTGGATGCCTATGTGTCATTGTTGAACACGGCCATCTGTGATCACCTCATGATACTATTACTGCGTCTTTGCATACACAGTTACTGTAGAAGGCTAGTGTGTGGTCAGAGAACAAGCAAACTGCCAGTGCTGGTCCTAAAATTGATATGAACGTATACTACACGTATCACAACTACCTCGGTGTGTGTGTGTACGTGCGTTCGTGGTGTGTGCATGTGTGTGCGCACGCAAGCACGTTCCCAACATACCTATCCGTCAGAACATATGGATGTGTTTCACGCCACTGGAGAGGCTTGAACTTCATGACCGAAATGAACCGTCCAAGATTGTGCACCTCCATCTTAGGGTAGTGGCCGTGAGACAGACCAGATAGGTAGAAGAGCTTGGCACCCTGTAGTACACACACACGTACACACACACACACACGTACACACATATACACACACGTACACACACGTACACACATATACACACACACACGCATGCACACACATACATGCAAACGCATAACAAACCAGAACAATGAGCATTCTCTCATCTGTCAGTAGAGCAATGCGTGTCACTGTATGCACCTCAGATCTGCCATCAATAGTTATCAGATCTGACCAGATTGGTCCTTTACATTTCCTCGGGTGCATTTGCTCTCAGTCTTCTTGTTTGCCGTCTTGTAGCTCCATCTAGTTGTTGGCTGTTCACTGTACCCCGTGGCTCTGTAACAACTGCTGTGAATACAATGTCTTCCTAAAGCTGGTCATCTAGAGCATAGGGATTGTAATGCTATCAGCTCAAAAAGTATAGCAACACCCTTGTATCGAGTAGAGAGGTGGCCACAAGTATCTCCATGTCCGGCTTTATCAAGCAAACACAGCTGATATCATCACTCTAACAGATGCACATTGAACAACGGAGACTCCCCTCGATTTAGGCTAAGGCCTGTGGAGAATTCATAAATAAAAATACAAAGTGAGTGTCAGTTTGCTGGCTACCTGATAGATCTCCGTCCAGAAGCGATGCTTCAGGTGCTTCTTGGTCTTGCGTACTGTCTTGGCCTGCTTGAACAGATCCAGATGTGTCAAGACTCCCATGATGCGTGGGAAACCATGCACCTGGCAAATGTTGAGGAACTCAAACACCTCCATCTCAAAGCCAAAGCTGGCATCGATCAACAGCAGAACCTACAACGAAGAAAGCGGCAATCCAGCGAAAAGAATTGTGAAACTAATAGACAAGCGGAGGAGACGAGAATTCATTATCAACTTTTCCCAGTGCAAGAGATTCATACCAGGGAGTTGGATTTACAGGTGGATGCGTGATTCTATGCATAGACTGTGGCAGTCACACACCGCGGCAGATTAATGCATGGCTTGCCATGTTGCAGCAGAGATAGAGGTACATATGATAGAGCGGAGGCAGCAGCAGCAGCAGCATGGCAACATACACACACTGGCACACGTGTACAAGCTGATGCTGTCAGCTGATACACCAACGATGGCATGGCAATACACACACACACACTCTCTGGCACACGTGTACTTCCTCCGCTAAGCAAAACTTCGTTGCGTTTTTAGTGTTCTTGTCATGATATTTCTGTCGGCATTAGACATACATGTCAGTGATCTATCCCCTACATAGGGTAGCCGAGTTGTCGTCCATTGTTCTGACAGGCTTTTGAACCTCCGAAAAGCATGGAGTCCTTTGAAAAAATCGGCGAAGCAGAACCGTTTCTCGCAGGATGTCACCAGAACACAACCCCAGGCGCGCGCGCATGACACCAAAGTGCGAAAATGAAAAAGTTTGAAAGATCGCGTGGCTCGAAGAAGTGTCCAGGAGCCGGCCAGCGCTCAGGCACTCAGTGACTGCTGTACTAGCACGAGTCGATGGTGCGCATCCGCACACAGCTAAAATCAATGCACTTGTGTTTGCAGCGCAGGGGAAATCAAAAGTGTTCGACATTCAGGTTGTTCAGTCGGCGCAAAATCCTGATCTCGACATCGACGACTTGGCGTTCTTCCACAGTCACTCGTGGTGAAGGAAACCAGAAAGGAGCTTCTGCAGGGTGTGGAAACGTGCTGGAACGACTACACCGCTGTGAAGATGGGGAGCGTTTGTTTGGGTCTGTATGGCTCCTTCCATAGCGTTCCGGAGAGTGGCCACAACTACCAGCGCCACCGTGGAGGTCGTCAAGCGCACAGTTTGAACGAAGAACTTGGCGATCTCCACGATCAAATTGTGTCTTGGAAACTTGTAAAGGCTGCGGAACAAAAGCTGGCAGCGCTGGAGGCGAAAATCAGCGAGGATGCAGACTCGATGTCATCAGGGAGTGAGTCGTCATCAGATTCAGACGAAGAGTGAAGCTGGACTGCTTTGAAACGAGCTGTGTGACATCTGTAAATAAATATCTTTCATATGCTGCCTTGTTTTCCACTTTGCAAAGCGTGTTCGTAGCCATAGAATGATTTGGACTGAACTGTAAAAACGCAACGAAGTTTTGCTTAACGGAGGAAGTACAACATGCTGATGGTGTCAACTGATACACCCCTGTGTACATGAAGAGGCACATGTACTCACCAAGTCTGCAACTTTAGCAATGTCAATCATAGACATGATGTCATTGTTACACTCAACAAATGTCAAACGCCGCTTGCGACCTGAAGAAAAATAAAGAGAGAAACGAGAGAAACAACGATGATAGAGGATGAATTCTCTGTTTAAAAAAAATGATGATGAAAGCGCCACTCAGTAATCACTCTGGCTCCAGAGGATACGCCACAACTGGCTGCATGAGCTTGGTTCTTCAAGTTCAACGCACTACACAACGCCTCAGCAAACACTGCACTTGCCTACAAGTATGCCAAAGCTAAATGAGTCCTAAACGCCGGCTTTGAGTATCAAAGCCAAGTTAGCCCACGCGGGCACATGCGCAGCGATGGTCTCAGGATGCGTATCATTAATTATTATTCTGCATCGAGTATGGTCTGTACCTGCCTGCCTGCCATCACTGTAACTTGACTGTCACCTCTCCTTCTCTCCCTTCTTTTCACCCACCATGTAAAAACTGACACCATCCTCAACATGTCTCATCAACTTGAATGTCACACTAATGTCGCGCTTTGCTATCTGCCTGGGCGTAAATTTGTAGCCAGATGATGTACAGGTTATCAGTTGTCTGAGGATTGCCTATAACTAAGCTTTGCTATGTGCATGAACGCAGCGTTACAACAATGACCTATCCGGTTGTCTTTCTTCTCTTCTGCCTTTGTGCACTGACAATATGTACTCGTTTAAAAGTTTTAATACACTGTACTGTATAACTTACCGCTCACAACGGTGATAGGCCCCATGGCATCAACCAGATTTTGCCTAGTGAAGTTTTTCACCAGGCTGGATATCAGCGTAGATTTTCCAACTTTCGGTGGACCAACCACTGCTATCAACACGGGAGGTGGCTCTTGCGGCGTTCTGTCCACAACGGGGACATGAATGGCCTTGGATTTAATATCCAATGTCCTACGTGCCTGTCTATTTGCACGAACTGACGACTTGAACGTAAAGGCCTTCGCATTTCGCTGAGCGTTTTGCTTCTTACTGCCATCTTCATTTTTCTTGGCCTGCTTCTTACGGTCTGCTTTCGGACCTGCCTGTCGCTTGCGATGGCCCTTGGCCGAAGCCTGAGAGGAATCTTCCATGACCAACCAATGCTAAAACATCATTTGCAAAGGCACAATAAAAATACAACCTGATTCTGAAAATAATTGCTACTGAAAATAATTCAAGGCCTTTCAATTCAGAACTAAAAATAATTTTCACTGATTTTTACGTATAATTATTACGTTATAATTATATACATAAAACATCCAAGATATTTTTATGCTGCATCATGCATGTGCTGGCCATGATCGGCACATGCGCGGCGGATGCTGCGCCGATCGGCCGAGCTTTCGCGCATAATCGCGAGCCGCACTCGCACGAGTGGTCCTTTTGTCGTGTTTTGAGGCCGAGGGACCCTGGCTATGATCATGATCAAGATCAAGATCGAAGATCACAAATCGTACATCATTATGCATGAACTCTTGTGCTTTATTTTGATTGGAATACCGGTACGCATTCGAAACAATGCCCTTCTTGAAGCCCCCTCCCCTGGGCTGCTACTACTGTAGTTCTAGTTCTAATCCGGGAGTAGTAAAATACGTATTTTACTACTCCCTGCTGGTTCTATAAACACTTCAATGACATGAATGGCGTTGAACAATCATGCACTGCATATCCATCTGTAGTGTAGAGCAGGGGGTCTATACGACTCCCTGGTGTAGAGCTAGATGTGTGCATGGTGGTGGCAAGTACCAAGTAACCAAACAAGCAACACAATCAAACCAGTCGCGGCATGTTCGATGCGGATGGCAGGCACAGAAGTAGGAATACTAGCACATCGTCATTTGCCATCCTCAGCGCAAAACCATGGCAGCGTGTGCCAACAGACCAGGGAACCGCAATCGACTAGAGAGGACATTGGCATTACACCATCCAGGATGGAAATAGGCAAACATGCATCAGCTGAGCAAAGTATACTCTTTGGCACTCATGCTCAGGCACTGACATGTACACATACTACTGCCATTGGAAAATAAAATAAAAATGAGGGTCGAGCAAGAGTACAAAAACAAAGCAGACACAAGTCCGCAAACAGATTTGAAATCACTGCAGCTACACGAAGTTTGATGCAGGATGCTAGCAAAAATATAAAAAATACAGATACAGTGTAGTAGTGGTAGCACCATAGGAGTGACCAGCTAGCACACGGTCAAACTTGTTCATAATTCGACAAAAGAGCAAGAAACGCAAAACAGCTAAATGTACAACACAGGAATTCCACGGCGGGAAAGGCTGAAAATATACTTCATAAGTATGGACAGGAGTAAGCAGTGTCAGGCTGCTGGTGACCTACCAGTGAGGCTGAAACAATGTATCAAGTCAAATAAAAAGGGAGATGGCGAGAGAAAACAGACAAGATAGGACAAACTGCGCACATATGTAACTGCAAAACAGAAAAGAAAGATGTGAAAGAGGACGGAAGCAACCACAAAGGTTAGGTTGAAAAAAACATTCACACAAAAAAGGAGAGAGAGAGAGAGAGAGAGAGAGAGAGAGAGAGAGAGAGAGAGAGAGAGAGAGAGAGAGAGAGAGAGAGAGAGAGAGAGAGAGAGAAAGAGAGAGAGAGAAAGAGAGAGACACTCACACACACTCACACACACACACACACACACACACACACACACACACACACACACACACACACACACACACAGGCTGTGCAAAAGTTAAACTAGACAATGTTAGGCACTGTCTGTCTTGATCTTCAGTGCGCGCTCTCTGCGATAAGACGCGGCACCAGTGCTTCGATTTAGCTGTTTTGTACGCAGCAGCTCTTGACGTTCAATCTCGGCCCGTCTCTCCGTTGTTACCTCCTCAGGCTGCTCCTTGCCATCACGATAGTATAGCATGTTGCCGTCATTCATGATACTGATAGGAATGCGGTCAAGTGCGGTCACCTTCGGATTCCAGTTCAGCTCATCCATTTCCAGAGGCGAGTAGTGAAATGGGAAGAAGCCAACTGCCTTGGCAATCTCCACTTGCTCCACGGGTATATCACTCAGCTGAGAAAGGACCTCCTTGGTCGCCTTTACTGCAGTGCTGCTCACTGAGATCTCCTGCATCGGGCCAAACATGTGAGAGCTTGGCTTCCATCGACGCACAAATATTGCAGTCTGGTTGGCAGAGAACAAGTCTGGCGCATCCATGAGCTGGATAGCAACCTCCCAACCGGAGTAGACAGCCATCTCACGTCCCACTAGCAGATCACCACACAGCACCGTAGAAGGAGCCTTGTAGTTCTTGCGGCGCAGACGTAGATGCTCAACGGGAGCATCAACAACAGCCACAGCATGCTTGTGTCGTTTGTCATCAGAACCGACTGGACTCGTCTTAGCAATTTCTTGACAGGTCTTGACAACTTCGTCTTTCATCTGTGCTACGCTCATGCCTTTGGCAACAATGATCTCCCCAAGCGAGATCATGTAGACCTCATCAGTAGGGTCAAAGAAAGACACATTGACACGATGCTCATCCACGCCAACTGCACGGCCGTATTCAACACGCAGCTGGAACTCGCTGTGGTACATCATTGTATCCTGAAGCCGCATCTCCGTCTCCTGACCACTGCCGTGAATCTTGAACAAGCGGAACTGATTGGATGCAGTCCCGCCAACAAACTGTTTAAGATGCTGTTTGAACTCGCTTACAAGATGCCGACGGTCAAACTCCACAAAGACGACCCGGGGCGACAACGGTGCTGGGGTGCTCCCATTCTTGCTGGCATCCGGCACATCATCTTGCTGATTCTCTGCCGATTCATCCGTTGACGGCAAGTCTGGGAGAATGACACTCCACTTGACGGTATTCACATGACGATTGAGTACCTGGTAGAGATCGGTGGACTTGAAGACAGCTGGTGCGTCTGAACCAAACCTAGGTTCAGCGTACACGATGGCTGACCGGTAAAAGCCTTCACTGTTCAGGGTGCGGCCAGGCTGTAGCATGGATAGGTCTGCAGCATACTTCTGTACGACAAGTCGGGTGGTAGCCGCGGGAAAGCCCAGCTTCTTCTCCATGTACTTCAGCACCTCCTCCACTGTCCAGCTTAGCGAAACACGCACTCGACGCACAGACTTGGACACTGAGTTCTGCTCCAGGTAAACCTCTTGTACCTGTAGCACATACATACACACACAGACACACGCACGCACACACACGCGCACACACACATATATATGTACACACACACACAAACACACACACAGCAGCAGCGGTCAAACATGTGCACAAAAACTCACACATAAAATTGCACCATCTCTTGGACAGGTATGTCAGGGGATAGTCAATTGGATAAAAGGAGGTATGGAATAGCTCAACAAAGGTAGATGTGGATGTGGAGCCCGTCAAGAGCACACAACAGTTTCTACCACACATGCCATACTTAGACGTACATGTAGCACTTGCAATCCGAGTCAGTTCGGAGGAGAGATAGAGAGAGGGGGAGTACTCATGACACAAACCTAAATATGAGCAAGGAAACTACGTCGACGAGACCTCTTTCCACCTGACAGACATGACACTCCTGTGCAGCATGACTCCACTAACAGCCACTACGGGGTAACAGCCACTACGAGTAACTGCCACTAACCCTAACACCCACCTTCAAAGTGCTGCTGTTAGGCTGATATACATCAAACTCCTCATCTTCGGCTCGCGTTTCAAGCAGCAAGTCGAAGAGATAGGTCTGCCGAATACCGCCAAGAATGTGACCCAGCTGCTCTTCATCACGATCCTCGTATGAGCACTCACAGGAGTCGTAGTTCTCGTCAAACTTCACCAAACGGCATCGCTCAGCAGGGATGTCAAGACCATGAAGTCTAAGTAGCGACACATAACGTTAGAACAAGCCCACAGAATGTCGATACATGCATAATGTGTACATGTATACATGATTGCAATGTGCACACACAATATTGAACTGGAGCGGTGAACCGATCCTCCACCCCATAATATCGTTCAGCCAAGAACGAGTGCTGCTCACAACACGTGAACAATCCTGGTCTGGTTGAGACCAATAAAACACACCTTTGATGACTATTCTCATACTGGGATTCGCTTGCACTAGCTTGTACAAACCCATGTGCAACTCTTTCACCCGACATACATTTGATGCAAAATACTGAATTCCCATGGAAAGAAATCTGCACCATAGATCGCAATGCAAAAGTCGAGCGAAGCTCAACTTCTGTGCTTAGGTGCGGGGCTTTCCCAGATTTAAAGCCATCGCACTGCATCGCGAAATCCTTCTGTAACAATTTACTAACACGTTATGCATATCAGTGCAGGAGATAGAACCTTTGCAGACAGACTTACCGCCGCGCAATATCAACGGCCTCTTTGAAGGGAACATCATGCTTGGCCTCCAGCATCTTCTTTACAACCTGGCCATCTTCTGTCGGCCGGTAGAAGACTGGAATGCGACAATGAGAGCGCTCAATCTCCACCTGTCGACGCTCATCCTCCTCCTCTTCTTCTACTGCTTTCACCAGACGCGCGATGTGAGGCGGAAACTCTTCAGTTGTCATGAATTTGGTGTTACGACTGGGGTCCATCTAAACCGTGAATCAAACAAGAGGATTAGAAAGGAACAAGGAGTCAAGCATAGCAGTGCACGCACACATACATACACACACGTGTGCACGGGTGTGCAAGCAGCGATGATCAGGCTGGCCATTGAAAAGGACTCTACCCTCATCGTTCACCAGCGCCAACCCGGTGAAATGAATACTGTTAGATTACAGACACCTAACCACAAGTTGCACCAGCTCACGAAACACGGGGACAGAGATTCACTTTACTTGTTACGTTGGTATCAACACCAAAGAATCTGTGAAGACTGTATTCTGCTGACTGACGTTACACTGTAATATCCATATACACATGTAACGACAGCGCGACAAACTCATATCAAACCGAGCATAACACTCTCGTGAGAACGCTCGTAATAACACTGAACTAGACTAAGCAAGATGGATCCTAATATCCCTGCAAGATTGGGACGTTGTCCCGTTCTCAGAAGCCAGCGCTAGCCTAAGTCTACAATAGAGTAAGAGGTGAGAGCTGTCATGCATGCAGCGGAACAGCCAGTGAACAGAGAGTCCTGAGGGCTAAACCAACCATGAACAATACATAAAACCAGACACCATACATTATGAAACAAAGCTGGCTCCACAAGCTCAATGGTCTGTGAACTTTCAATTCCACAAATACTACAGTCCATTCATTGGAAACTGGCACCCTAACTTTTTGGTGTCTCTGTCATATTAGTTGTAGATATCGTGAAAACAACAGTACATCCTGCATTGTGTGACCCGTGCAATTACTCCTTGCCACATTTGAGGCCAGAAAAGTCCAAGAACAGGAAAATAGAAATTCAGCCAGGTTTTACAAAATTAGGACGGGGTATGCCATGGCAAATTGTATGGAGAAGCAGATCCAAAACCCAGATTTTTGAGATTAAAAGTGGGGTTTTGATCCTCAATTTGGCCCAAATCCGACTTTCAAAAGCCAGCGGGCCAGTTTCCGATGAATGGACTGTAGTATTCAAATGATAGAATGAAGCGATGCAACTGACACAGCCCTTATGGTACTACAATGCAATCTCTAATTAAAATGCAGATACTACAGTAGCAGTCAAGATATTCTTGCCTGACCGATAATGAAGCAGGCATGAAATGCAGAGATCTACCCAGGAAGCATCATGACTATTGTTTAGAGGGCACAACTTCTCACACCAGCAATCACGAACCAAGACACAGAGTGCTACACTACCACTGACGCAGTGAGCAAATACAACACCAGTGTGTAAGAACTGCACACACACACACACACACACACACACACACACACACACACACACACACACACACACACACACATACACACACATGCACACACACACATGCACACACACACGTCATTCAAACGCAGCTCCACTCAGTCACTCACCCGTCGGTAGATCAGCATGTAGGCATTGGCTGAGCTGCTGTACATGCTCGTGTACGTGGTTCCCGTCGATGTGCTGCCACCAAACGTTTTCTTGATGTCGTCGGTTGTGATTGGCGATACATTGGAATCATTGAAGCTATACCACTTGCCAGTTTCCATAGAGCGAATGTAAGCATAGTAGTGCCCCCCAATAGCACTGCCGGAATGCACCATGATGGACAGCAGCTCATACGTATAGTTGGGTTCGTCATCATCGCCAGTCTCCTCGCCATACACAGGAGCAGCAGCCGCAGCAGCACCAACATCGGGGCCAGCAGCAACAGAAGCAGAGGGACCAGTGCTGGCAGCGGCAGCAGCATCGTTGGCAGCAGCAGCAGCATCACCGCTAACGCTACACAAGCCTGCTGGTGTGCCCGCACCAGCACCAGACGTGGAGGTCTCGGGACGCCGCGGGAAGTGCTTGCCACTATCCACTGGCGTGCCAAGGCTAATACTCTGGCGACGGACAACCTCACACTCGTTACCTTGCTTGGCAATGAAACCGTTGAGGTTTAGAGAGGACGGGAAAGTCATGCGATCGTTCAACTTGATCCGGTGCATGGTATTGTAGTCAAAATCAAAACGCTTCAGTTGCAACGTGAGCAGGTATGGGAACGTGAGAAACTTGAGACCTTTGTGAGCATCCTGCTTGCTATTGCACTTCTCACAGAAGTATTGGTTGGACTCGTTGAGGGTTTCTGGCGTGACGTGTACACGTAATGCTTCCTCCACGCTGCCGCATGCCTTGGCGGAACCGAATGGCTTGATAACGAGCGAGATATCCATGTAGGTGTCTGAGCGTGTGCTTTCGTAGTGGCACTTCAGACATTTGACATAGTCCTGCATAGTTCCCTCGTAAAGTTGCTTGATGAGCTGATCCTGAGCCGTTCCCTTGAAGTTCTTCTCCAGTGCATCAAACATTACTCGGCACAGCTCTTGCACGTCATGTTGCTGCCACGCATCTGCATTGGTCCAGCCGAAACTCTTCGTGACGTCCACAGTCTTGACGGCACGCTTCTGCGACGTTTGCATGGTAGCAAAGAGCTTCTGCAGCTGAAAAGGTATGCTCTTCTCCGCGGCATCGGGCCCACCGAGAAACTGCCAGTTGTAGATAGCGTTGCGAAACTCTGGCGTCATGAACTGTGTTTGGAGTACGCTATTCAGATAGCACGTCATTGCCTGGTTCACCAGACCGGCGTGGTCTCCGCGTGTTGTAGCCCGATTTGCAACGGAGCTGTAAGACGGCGGTGGTACCTGTGTCAGTGTGGCTGCACTGCCACTTGTAGTATTGTTATTCTCTGACATGGCCTTCCACGAACCATCCCTCAATGCGCCACTGTCGTCAGACTTTACAGCAGTCTCGGACAAAACTGGCACCTGGCCATCTCTGGGTTTTATGGAGACAAGGAAGCGTTTGCTTGTCGAGGAAACAATATCCCACAGCTGAGTTGAGGACTTATCGTCCAAGACTGTTTCAGATGCCTCTTGATCGGACTTCCGTAGGTAGGATAGCAGGAACGTTCCAGACGCAATGCCACCCAATGTCGTGACTTCATCATACAGACCGGACACTGTAGTCGTTTTTCGAATTGTTTTCGTGAACTTCTGCAAAGATAGAGGAGTCTCATCAGTTACTATGCAAGTAACCCAGCCATCGGCTTCATTCTCATCGGCTCGCGGATTGGCAAGCACCACGGCTTGCGCAGGATCCGACATTACCTGCTGGAGTTCTATATTTTGCTGGTCAAATCAGCAGCAGCAGCAATACAACTTACAAGGAAGCAAACCGCTGAGACCGTGCTGATAAACGAAATTCCCCAAATCCAAGAATCCAGATAGTGAACAGACTCAGGTAGTCTACGCAGCAGTCTCTCAGGACACTCGTAGACTACAAAATAGAGAACACACGAACTAATTCACTTGTAAACTGAGCTTGCTGAGCTGAGAAGTGAGATTGTTGATTTTGTTTGTTTCAAGTCACCTGAAAAATCTCACACACATTTTTGGCTTTTTTACACACGAGTGCTTGCATCATCGTACATGTACGAGTACGGCTACGAGTCGTACCAGCCCAGGACGTAGATCTACGTCCCGGGATCGCGGGAGTAAAATACCGAATGCACCTGTACGGTATCGCGATAGTAGTGCTTGAGTTGAGTGTTCTATTTTATTCACCATCATTCTTCTGGTCGTACCGGTATTTGTTTGTTCAGTGTTGTCACCTTTGCAGAATGAAGTGCAAGGATCCTACTTCCTTGGACTCAGCCAAGGATCCAGGACACCCTCCGGCCTAGTTTGACATGATCCTGACCTTGCCCGCAGCTCAGATATCGCGCGAACCAGGAGGGAGTCGTGAAAAAATACTTGACTGTGACGACGAACTCCCTCGGATCGCGGACACGACAGATCTAGCGCAAACTCTTTTCTCCTTCTATTTTTTTCATAAAATAGACCATGCATGCAGATTTTTAGGTAGCAGATTTGCATGGCATATATCTGTAGAGTGTAGACTGTAGTGCTAGTGGTTAGCGCTATACTAAGCATGCAGAGCATGACTATAAGTAGTGTAAGCTGGGTTTGGTCGTTTGTTCCTGCTGAAAATCAGAATTGTTCGTTGTGGACCTTTTCGTAGCTGCTGTTCCCTGAGGTATTCGCTTCCGTGCTAGCCGCAGACTCGTTCCTTTCCTTGTCCTCTAGCTATCCATAGCAAATAGTCATGGCGAAAGATGAGCGGCTTCAAAAATGCGCGGGTGGCCTCCGTACTGTTTTGGATCCTGACATCATTCTCGACGAATTGCTGGTAAAGAAGGTCATTACAAAGGGGGAACACGATGAAGTGAGCACAATCGCATATCGCCAAGGGAAAATAGAAGGCAATCGGTGCTTGCTACGGCATATGATGATCGGTAAAAGCAAACGACAAATCGACGGGTTCCTCGATGTTACCGTGCGCCTTCAAAGATCAGCGGTGAGGCAGATTTTCAACAGCAAACTGGGATTGAATATTCCTGCTCATATTGACGACGCTGAAATGGACGACGCAGATGAGAAGCAAGCTGGTGCTCCCGTTTCTAATGAACGTCAGTCAAGCTCAGTGAGTCCTGGAGCGCATGGCTTGGGGGACAGAACTTCGACTGAAGGTCCACGAGTTACTTTGGACTCACAAATCGCCAGTCGTATGGCCGTACCAGTTCAAGAGAGCAATCGAGATATTGACGTTCGATCGACCAGGGATGATCCTGTAGGTGCCGAAGTATCACGACAGCCAGCATATAGTGGTAAGAATTTGTTGCTTCATTTCCCGAACGAAACATGTGAGGCTGGAGTTAGAAATGTTGAAGATTTGACAATAAATTTAATTATCTCTGCTTGAAATATTTTTTCATAATTTTTGAAGCAAAATGAGCATGAAGTGCTATGGGTAGGGACTTCAATTGAAAAATCAAATTCGCGAGTTTTGCATAAAACGCTAGTTTTTCTAAACCGGGAAGAATCGAGAAACAACCTGTGAAAATTTGAACCCAAAATTCCAAGGCAATCTAGAGTTATAGTCGATTGAAGATCGGAAAACGGGGGAGAAAGTAGTCACAGAAGTAAATGCAAGTATGTATGGGAGCCGTGTGGTTTCCGTCCAGCACTGCACTATCTGGTGCATACATGGCGATACAGGATGTGTGCATGTATGCAGTGTGCACGCATGCCGTGCGCGCCGACTTGCACAAGTCACACGTTTTCACCGTCACTGCTTCTACCAGTGTGCGCGCAGTTCACTCGATTTTTTCGTCTACCACCAGGAAATCGCCGTGGGCTGGTTTCTGTGATCATTTTCCTTCTACGGCGATAAAGCGCGAGCCTCAATGTTGTAGAATCCTCTTGGTTTAGGCTAATTCGAGGCCGCTGAACACGAAAATCGGGTGTTCCTCGCGAAGCCGAGTACGGATCTGATCGAAATTAGTACTTCGAAGTGCACCCGCGCCAAGCGCAGAGGCATTATTTTTGGAAGCATGGCATGTGTGGCACCATTGGAAAGGTAATGACCTCAGCTACCTAAAAATAGCATCGACAAGGCCGAAAAGGCCGCGGGAGAAGATACTCGGGCCGCGAACTGCATCTCGAACTGCAGCCACGAGGCGCCCATTCACTTTGTACAGGCGAGCTGTGACTGCACTTTTCGCTTTTCAGTGACCGGAACTGAACTCCCTACTATGGGTAGAATACAACAGCAGTGCGTGGCGTCGATATTGTAGTGCATGTATCGTGATATTTAAAATGTAGAAGAGTAGTCGTGTGTCGTCTATCCACCAAGTAGAGTCACACACAGTGGAACAAGTGAGTAGTTGTTACTCTGAGTTCAGCACTAGATAAGATAGGTGTTTACGAGTACATGATTGTACTGTACGTGGAATAATAAATAATAACAATAATTATGTGACAGATTGCGTACAGTATGCATTGACACAGTAAGTATAATATTACTGTGCAACACACGGTTCCGCTGCTGTTCCTCGGCTAAAGATCGCCTGCACACTTGGAATCCCTGGAGGGGATAAAGCTGGTTTTTGTTCGGCAGGTCTCTTTGAAGTCCAAAAAGTAAGCTGATACAGTCAGACCTCGCTTATCCGGTCCTTTGTTATCCGGATCCCTCGCCATCCGGAAGAAAATCGCTGATTACCGATTTACAGCATATGCCATGTACACATACAGTGTGTGTGTTCGATTATCCGGTTCCCTCGCCTATCCGGATATTTTTGTGAAAAAATGGATGTGTGCGGTTATGCGAGGTCTGACTACATGGTGAATGCGAAAAAGAACAAAACGACTTGAAAGGTTATGCGACGAGTGGGAGACGATCGCTGTCGACGTGCGCTGCGCTAGCCGCAGAGACCGAACCCAGTGTAGGAGTAGGCAACACGTGTAGTGTAGTCAAGTGCTGCATGCTGCATGTACTGTGTACGTACAGCCAGTGCTAACATCCACTCGTGACCTCCAGTATTCCTATGCATACACTGAGAACAGCGTCCTGAAAGAAATCATCTTCTCCCGCTTTTGTTTGCTATCAGTGGACAAGGGCAAATCCAAGTGGTTAGGAAACCCACCCACCCCCGTTGTAGCTAACACATCATGTCTGCTGTGATACAGTCCACACCGTGTACAAATGTCACACTTTCGTAATAGCTAACTGATGTACTAGCCAGCTATGTGGATACATCACCAGACATGCATTGACTGGCCGCCGTGTGCGAACTAATAATGGTGGTGAGAGAAAGAGTGAGCGCTCTTTGCCATAATTTTGCAGCTTAGAGAGCGCTGTGTGGGCAGGCGTGTAACTAGTGCCATTTTGCCATGTGTGTGTTAACCACCATTTCTCTTGTTTACATTAGCTGGTAAGGGATATCTGGCCTTCAGTAGTTTTCATACTTCAGTTGCCAATCAGTCTTCGGTTAGTGTTGTCGGATGGCCGTTTGGCCTGAAACTCGGAGTACCAACGAATGACTTGTATCACTGTCTGTGTTCACAGTGTGTGATCAGCCTGGCATATTGTTACAGGGGCCAATATAGGAAATAGGATATGAGTAAAGGACCAAAGCGAAACAATTATGATTGTGCGCACATTTTTTCTTCGTGGCTTTTAATAATACGATTATTGTGTCCGCATCCCCTTTTAAAATTCTTGTGTTTAACTTGTGTTCCCGGTGTCTGTTGGTGTTGGTGTTGTGCAGATGTGGACATTGAGCTGGCACTGAGTGATGGCCGTGATGTCACCGACGACATGATTGTAGATGTTGCCACTCGCCTGCAGACGCCAGAGAAGATAAACCGCGTGGGTGTCAAGCTGGGATACAAGAAGCATGAGATTGACCTGTTCGTGACGAGCTACAGAGAAGAGCCGCACACGATGGCTGTTGAGATGCTAAAGGAGTGGCGGGCAGGGAAAGGAAAGAAGCGACCCCCTCGCACCATTCAGACTCTGGCCAAGGCGCTGAAAGATGCGGGACATCCAGACATTGCTGCAGAGCTGCGTCACCTGGGCTCCCCTAGTCAGCTACCGGAGAATTATTGTGATTCGCGGCCGCTGAGCGATTCATTGTGTTCTGACATCTCTCTGGAGCTCGTCAACAGTCAGCGTTTCTTGCAGTTAGCTAGAGCGTTAGGCTTTACTTTAGTGGAGGCCGAAGCTGTTCAGCATCGAAAAGTGAGCCAGAATGAATACTTAACTTATCTGGAGCTGTTGACAGAATGGAAGCGTGGATCGGGCAACAAGAGAGAGCGTACTGTTGGAGTGCTGTGTGCTGCCCTGGAACAAGTCAAAATGTCCACCCTGGCCAAGAAGCTTCCCAGGATGTGTGACAGTGATGCCGCTGGCTTGGATGATGATGATTCTGACTCGGACTGAAGGCTGCTGCTGCTGCTGGCACCGCTACTCCAGGCTTACTTTGAGCATGCACGCCATGCTAGTGTGCTGTTGAGTATGCGCGCGTGTGTGTGTGTGTGTGTGTGTGTGTGTGTGTGTGTGTGTGTGTGTGTGTGTGTGTGTGTGTGTGTGTGTGTGTGTGCAGTCAGTGCAACGGGCCATGATTAGCCGAAACAGCAGTGCTTGGTTGCCTCTACTGTTGCAGTGTCGAAGTCATGTCACGTCGTCATGGTTGTACTACGCTGCACAGTGTTGGCATTCCCATCTCACCACCGTGCCCAACCTGCTGGTACATCTGTCTTAGTAATATGGCTAATGCCGTTAGCCTGTACTGGTATTTCCATCCCATCTTCAGCGGCCGAGCAAGTCGCACAAGCGGAAGTGAGGCGTCGTGCAAACCCAACATGATGAGTATGACCTGTGTTTGTTGTTGTTGTTGTTGTTGTTGTTGTTGTTGTTGTTGTTGTTGTCTCTGTGTCCTACATGCTGTCTGTCAGTGCTAAGCAGTGTGGCTGGCAGCTGGCTTGAAAGCCATGCTCTGCTGGTGCTGCTGCTGCTAGTCCCAGCCTTTCCAGCACATCCTGTTGTTCACCAGCCAGGTAGCCATCCAAGCTCTGCACACTATCTGCCATTATGGTGTGTATGTGTCTGTGTTAGTGCACTCGCTCACTGGCACTGGATGTCTAGTCTCTTGTTCTTGCCTTCCGCTATCCGCCTGGCCTCCTGTTTCTGGCGTCGCACAAGGTGATGACTTTTCCAGCAACAGCAACGACAGTAGACTACGGCAATTCTCCCTCACAGTCGATCCTGGTTTTGCATCTGATGTTGCTCACCAGCCGCTTGAACCTTGCAAGTTGCCCTGTGCACGATTCACCCCAGCGCCACTTGTGTATTTTGACTTTGACGCGCGAGCCCTGTCTGTGCGTCTACTGCTTTTTAAACTATTTTTGACTCTCCTATCTCTTCAGACATCCGTGTACTTTGTATCATTGTATGGTGGGCTCAGGTGTATTGTCTTTGTGAAAACGTTTTCCTTGTTCCGCCCTATTGTTTTTTTTGTCCTGGTAGCTAGCTCTTGTCTAGCTGTTGTCTCCTGCTTGCTGTCAATTAGATGGCATCATGCGTCGGGACATTCCCGGACTGTCATGCTGCTGCTGGTGACACTCATTGTTGCTCTTCTTGATCAGTTCTAGTCCATTGAGAAAGAGTGATGTTTGCCAGTACTGCGTTTTTTTTTTGTAGTACATGTGTATGTGAAAAATGAGATTCGTTCCGACTGTAATCGCTGTGCCAACGTGACTGTATTCGCCGTACCAAAGTGACTGTATGATGTGAGATGTAGCCTGGCAGGTTGCCTCTTTGTCGTGACAGCATGAAACTGGCGGTTGTAAGCACCAGTCCCTCCTCCATGCTCTACAATACTGTGTGAACACGGTCTGTCCGGCCCCTGGCATGGAGCAAGTTTCATGCCACCTGCCCAGTGCAAGCAAGATTACATTTGGGTTATAATTATGTAGACCGCCCCCATGATGCACTTAGATCTACGACTCATATATACATGTACCTATTAGAAAAATAATTATATCAGACCAGTACATACTGTAATCTCGCGCATTTAGGGACATGTTCTTATTTTCGAATATAAGAGCACTCTCGCCAAGAGTCCATAACCCATGGGTTATGGACTCTTGCTCTCGCTTATAAGAACATGCACTTATAAGTGAATGAAAATCACAAAACCACACGAGGTTCATCATGGTTCCATTATACTGACGTTCACCAAAAATAATACTTGCACATGTACATGTCGATGCTATGTTTGTCTCTCGCATATCTTATAAGACCATGGACTTATAATCGAACAGAATGCACTTGTAAAAAGACCGAAAACAGCGACTTTTCGATTATAAGACCATGGTAATATGCGCGAGATTACGGTACCTACAATTCTACAGTCCAGTGAGTCACTACACACCACCAAGATCTATAACTCGCTGATGTACACACAACATGCAGCTAGGTACCCGATGAGCAACAAGCATGCAGGCAGTCTACATGCACTAATTGTTACCCTGCACAATGTTATACAAGTAGGTCATCCCTCCCTCTACACACCATGTACCCGGCAACTAACGTTAAATTTCCGGTGTCAACGTGTCTGTACGTGGCATGATAATTCTGATGGAATTTGATGGAGAAGTTTTGGTGGGAGTGCACAGCACTGACAGTACTGAAATATTATGGAACCCACTTGCAAAACAAGATCCAATTCCTATAAAACCAGCCTATCAAGTGCTGGGAAGCTTGAGCATTGGTCTCTGGATTGCCCTTTGGCCATGTAATTCACCGGCTGACAGTACACCATCAGCTATAACAAAATAAATACATGTAAATACCTGACTCCCCCTTAAGTTCTGGCTGCCCGTTTTGGATCCATCAGTTGCCTGGTGATCGTAGTAATACGTGTTGTAACAAAGTTGTAACAAAGCTTCCAAACAGTGTACATGTAAATAAATACGATATACAAAATAAATACATGTACATGTATATTCACAGGTTGAGATGTACATGTATATTCACAGGTTGAGGGAATGGAAAAGGTACTCATACTTGTACATGTATGCACACCTTATTGTTACGCATATTGTTACGCATATTGTTACGCATATTGTTACGCATATTGTTACGCAGTTCCGCATCCTCTACGCACATCCCCAAACTTCACAGTTCATACACACCACAGTCCAGTTGCCACTTCTTTATGTTTGACAAAATTGGACAAAATGTACACTGCGAAAAGACGTTAAAAAAAGTTCTTGCCTAACTTCAGCGTGTTATATGAAAAATAATAATATTTCTCATGGATCCTATCACAAATACACGTAGTTGAACTTGAATGAGCAAGGTGCTGTCTCTATAAACTAATACTAGTGCAAGCAGAGCCACACATGGGTGAATGATCATTTCATAAATTACTATCATAACAGTTACGTGAAGCTCGCTTGCATGGCCCATACTCGTACCCTAGAACAATGACAAAACCGAGCGCAGCCGCGGCAACGGCATTCTCAGAAGAGCGTCAGAACACAGTGCACTATCTAGGCAACATCGTGCTTGCGTACACATCTTCTGTAAAAGTCTCAACACGTCTTCAAAACTCGCGACAGGACGAATCATGAAAGGACAGCGGCACATCAGAGGATTTAGAAAGACAAATAGCAGCAATTATCAAAATTGCACTCTAGGCACAGAGTAATGTGCAAAAAGTTACAAGTAAAAATTAAAATTCCTACACTCTCTTCATTTCAAGGCGGACACGCTGCGGCACGAAGCCCAATAATTTGCCAAGGTGACGAAACCAGCGTCGGACCTTCAACAAAACACAGAAGGATAAACATGTTATCACAACAATTTCAACATAGCAGTGTCCGTTACTTGTCAAATCCCAACCAAGACTACTGGGAAAAGAATTCGGGTGGACACACCCATTCCCATAGCGCTGCACATCACATCCGAACCAGTTCCGTTATTTTTACAACGTTTCGGCACTTGGCCATTCTAGCACATTACCATGATTACAGGAGGGGAGCACGGAGCCCCATGCGTCAATGCACTATGAGGTTAAACTTCCATGCCAAACTGTTACCACCAGGGACGCGACGAGGCATCAGGAACAGAATGGATTTGAGTGACCCGCCTCATATTATAATTATTCAGTGATATTGAAGTAGCAGCAGGGGAAGCTGAGAAAATTCACAACAAATCCCATCCGGTGCTTATGTTCACATAGGGCTTGGCATCACGAATCTCAACCGCCTCGCGCAGTTTGCGACGGGCTCGATCAGGCTCTCTTCCTATTACTTCAACTGCAGAGAATGCACTTTGCCCATAGTTAAGCTTGCATCCAGGGTGAGTGGTACGAAAATGTTGGCCCCATTGCTTCGTCACAATTCCTAAGAGCTCAGAGGCTCTCATCGAATACCAGAATGCGTGCAGAAAGTGAAGCGAGGGTTCATGAACAATTAAGATTGAACAATTACCCAGAGAGAATCATTGAAGAGGCACGCACTGCCTCCATAAGGCCAAATCGTCGTCGCCATGCCAACCCATGCTGCGCATTTCTAAAGCTTCCATATAAGTCAGATAAAGTACATCAAGCAGTGAATAAAGCAATCAGAAAGTATAAAATTCCGGTTAGAGTCGTATATGAGCACACTGGTAGCCTGAGGCGCACATTGTGTCGCTCCGCCCTCGTTCCTCCTCTATGTGTCAAGGCTGCAAATCCGCTACAACCGAAAAAGAGAGGTCGCCCAAAGGGGCCGTGTATCTCGTGTATATCCGGGGGACAGGATGTATGTATGCAGAAGAATGTTGTATATCAGCTGAAGTGCAAAGAATGTCCGGAACAATATGTTGGTGAGACTGGCCGCTTTCTGGAAACTCGCCTGGAAGAACATAATGGTGAGGCAAGACGACAGGAACTCTACAAGCCATGGGGCCAACATTTTCGTACCACTCACCCTGGATGCAAGCTTAACTATGGGCAAAGTGCATTCTCTGCAGTTGAAGTAATAGGAAGAGAGCCTGATCGAGCCCGTCGCAAACTGCGCGAGGCAATTGAGATTCGTGATGCCAAGCGCCATGTGAACATAAGCACCGGATGGGATTTGTTGTGAATTTTCTCAGCTTCCCCTGCTGCTACTTCAATATCACTGAATAATTATAATATGAGGCGGGTCACTCAAATCCATTCTGTTCCTGATGCCTCGTCGCGTCCCTGGTGGTAACAGTTTGGCATGGAAGTGTAACCTCATAGTGCATTGACGCATGGGGCTCCGTGCTCCCCTCCTGTAATCATGGTAATGTGCTAGAATTAACACCATAATTATTTGGCATGTACCCTCACTTCGTAGAGCACAACGGCGCGCTCTTCTTCTCCGTGATGTGCACAGTTGCACCTTCTCTCCCCCCTCTGTATAGAGGTGACATAACTCGTATCATTTTATTTTTTGGCGCTACACTCTGCGTAACGCCATTCACAGAGCACAATGCGCGCTACCTTCTGCTGCTTCTCCTCCGTGATGTGCTAGTTGCGTCTTTTCTCTCTCTCTGTCCCCCCCCTTCTGCATACTAGGTGACATAATTCGCATATTTTTTGGCGCTACACTCTGCATATATACTGCTCTTGTGTGGCTTCCATGGTATTCATTGTTATTACCTGACGATGGCCAAGTGCCGAAACGTTGTAAAAATAACGGAACTGGTTCGGATGTGATGTGCAGCGCTATGGGAATGGGTGTGTCCACCCGAATTCTTTTCACAGATGAAGCTGCAGGAAGCCTCAGCCCTTCTTCAAGACTACTGGGACTACAAAAATATTGTAGTAGGGTTGTGCATATTCGATTCACCAATCCAGATCCGGATTCGACAGATTCTGATCCAACCAATCCAACTCCTGCACCAGGAAACTGGTCCAGGGCGCCAGTTTTGCATTCTGGGTCGGATTTCACCGAGCGCAACTGTACTAATATCAAAATGGTCCACACAGAACGGACTGGCGCACAGGGGCGAGGAGATCATGGCTTGTACAGTACAAATTGCACAAGCATGCTTAACAAAGGTACATGACTGTACTTGTATTATCACCAGCCACCATACGCTGTGCTTATTCTCAGTTATTTACTCTGGATCCAAGTTGACCAATACATGACTATTTCTGACTACCCAGCCGATTTTGGTGCCATCGCTTTCAAGTACAGTACGAGTACTACCGTACACAATATGTTCCTGCATACTTTTTTTTTAAACCAGAAAATGCAGTTCAGGCATATGTGAAAACAGACAGTCTGGTACCGTAAACCTCACCTTTGGTAGACAAAAGACAACAAATAGAATAGCGAATAACGAAACAACACTAGCTCGCATCCAGAACTGACGTCGCCGCTCCTCGGCTTGCCTAAACCAAGCAGCAGAGAACACAGACAGATAGGACAGATAGGACAGATAGGGTAGTCAAAGCAAGTAGCTACAGGTCAGTACAACCAAGAGTACATAGCGTGTACACTGCAGTAGCTACAGGTCAGTACAACTTGTAACATAGCGTGTACACTGCTAACAGCTAACTGCTAAAATCCTCGACAAGGACACAATGACGGATCAGGACCAACACTACCAGTACATTCACTGTATCCCAGCTAGTCACTGCACGGCCAAATAGCCTGGTACACATACGTAGCAATTCGTTTATTCCCAAAGCTATGCCAAAAGACGATGTGTAATAGTGTCTAGCGCTAGCCAGGGTCCTCCAGCGCGGGTTCGAATCCCGATTAACGCCGGGAATTGGACGTACCCCCTACGTACCAGGTGGTGCTCGGCTAGCTGAGCAAACTGAGTTGTTCGTATGATGACCTAATCAGTGTAGCAGTCGCCTAGGTAAAGAACACACATAGTGAGGATCCTGAGCTTGCAGCTCTCTCGTTTAGCACCAACAGATGGCAGACACACATGAAATATGAAGCTAGCTTGTCTCGTCACTATTCACCATAGTCAACATAGCGATCAATTTCACCCCCGTTGATGCGTTATTTTCTTCCGATAATTATGTCCTTTCTTCTTTCTTTTTCCTTCTCTTGCCATGGCTGGCTAACGCCCCTCCTTTGCATTGGCTTCTGCGATTGGACGGTGAAATAAAATAAAATAAAATGAATACATTGAATACATGCACAGGTTGAGTGGCTCTGAAGCTGGTATTTCCACAGTAGATACAGCTGCACGCAAACTCACCAAGCACGCAGCTCATCGACGTGCAGGAATCGGTTCTGGATGGTCGATGGCAATTCAAACTGCGATGGTTTAGGGAACATGGCCTCGTAGAACTCACGGATCATAGCTTTAATCTGGTAACAGTTATAAGAGAGAACGGAAAGGCAGCACAGACCGATACCACAGACCGACACACACACACACCAACACATACCGGTAGACCATCGCACACAGAGTGAGTACAAGCACACAGCGCACACAGAGTGAGTACAAGAAAGTGGAGACCCTGGGTAGGTACTTCCGAAGTAGTGCTAACTGATAGCCCAGCACAGCCCATTGCTATGCACAAAGCAAATCAAAACACCACATGTAGTATCAACACACACACAGTTGCGTTGGGCCCTAGCTGGCCTATCTAGTATCTACCCAGTACACAGGAGATGTACATGTACGAACAGCCTTGACCCTGACTACCCCACAATATCTTGTCCCGGGTGCTCTGCTGTGTGAGGATGATGCCGACTTTGCCAGCGGAGTTGCCGCCAGCAGCAATGCAACACATGTACACGTACTGAACACTGACGACTGTGTTTAAAGTCATCACAGAGTCCAACACTAACTACTGTGACGTCATGCATAAGTAGAGAAAAAACAACTCACCACCAGTGCCTCCTCCTTGCGATGATCAATGTTGTCGTTCAGGCACACAAATTTCCTGAAGAACAGAAAAGAAATTAAGAAAACCGTTCTAAGTGACGAAGGTGCAGGAAGAATCCGTATCAATTTTTGAAAATCAGTCACACACGCTGGTTGTGTGTGCGTACGGTAGCACTGGGAGTTGTTATGGACCGTTCTAGTGTAATGGTGCACTGATTTACCAGAGATAGGAGAGGAAAGGAGAGAAGTGGAGAGATGAGAGAGAAGAGAGAGGGAGAGAGAGAGAGGGAGAGAGAGAGAGAGAGAGAGAGAGAGAGAGAAGGGGAGAGAGAGAGAGAAGGAGAGAGAGAGAGAGACGGAGAGAGAAGGAGAGAGGTGGAAACAGCAGGCAGAATGCACCAGTACAATTTAAACACAGATATATGTCTGGGTGCAGTGGTACCTTGTTTTGCGCCGAACTCCATCCAGCTGGTCAGCAACCTGACAAGAACAATGAGAGAAACAAGAGCATGTCACATTACAGCTTACATCACACGTGCATGTAATACCAATGTACAGATCTCAAGCCGTATACTTGAGAATGGACACATTCAGCATCGTAAAGAGAATAGAGCTCTGGCGTGATAACTAGAGTGTGATCTTTAAACTAGCTCTCCCTTCGACTTGCTTTGAGTATTAGATAGCTTGTTGTTTGTACACACACTCACATACAGGCACACACACTGTCCTCTCCCTCATCTCTCATCATTATCACTCTGAAGAAGACTATTGTCGAAACGTTAATATATTATCAGTATCAATCAGTCAAGTCTTGCTCTTGTTGTGTGGTCCGCCTACCCGGTATCCACTGTTGCATTTTAAGACACAGACACACATACAGACACACAGACACACATACACCGAGACCCCAGGCCACGGGCCCAGCCCCAGACACACATCCAACTACAGAGCAAAAGTAGTTTCCTCTGCAGCACACTCACCTTGGTGATATTGTCCGGAAGCATTTCAAAAGAAACATCGTCTTCACCAAACAGTTCATGCCTGCATGAAAGTATCAAGCAGTCAAACACATAACAGTTCTATTAAACACACATAGCAGTTCTATTAAACACACATTCACGATCTCACCACAGCTACTTCCAAGTAGACTCAAAACAAATAATAATATAGTAGACGTCTTTGCTGAAGAAACCCTACTAGCTAGGCGGAAATTACCGGCAAAATCGGAGCAAAATATCGATATGTTGGGTAAAATCGGTGCCTGATACTTGGATTTCCTGGTGGTTCTTACCCGTTCAGCACGATACACTGCCCAGGACGAGATCATGTCACCGAAATATCACTGGGATTCACTGTGGATCGACATGGTTTTGGAAGAACTCAGGGACACGTGCGTGGAAACCCATGTTGAGAAACCGACTCTGCGAGTTTTACGAAATGTTGTACGGGAAGTGGATAAAATACACATTTTTTTCCGGAGCAAAATGGAGCAAACTATCGAGTTTCTTGTGCCAGGCTCGGCAAAATATCGAAGCTTTTGCAACAACATTTTGCGGCAAAATATCGAGGCGAACGGAGCAAAATCTGTCTGGGTCTACTACTAGCTACAACACACCGGTGTGAATATGGAACAGGAGCATTGCACGCACGCACGCACACACACACGTATACACTCACACACAAGTAAGAGGAGCATTGCACACATAAGTAATATTACAGAGAATGTCCTCAAACACCAAGCACTCGGTACTGCTAGAGTTGATGCAGATGAGGGGGCCCAGTAGAGTAATGAGTAGTCTACATGTGAGCTGCTGCACAACGTACAGCCGCAGGTCTGCTTCCGCGCGTGAATGCAACCTGCATGCATTGCATCATTCAACTGATGTGGTATGGGAGTATCACTGCAGTCACTACCCATCTGAGCTGCACACTCTGGCTTTCATCTACCCACTACTATACTACTGTATTTTCCCGAATAGAAGTCACACCTTTTTAGTTTGAATACAGCAGCACCGCTCGAACTGCAGTAGCTACCTTTTTAGTTGTTACACTAAAATGCAATGAAGTAATTCCACCTCCAGCAAACGCGCTCTCTGGCCGACCTCACATACCAGCAACAGGAGGACTCCAAGTTGTAGATACTTGGAGTACATGGTTGCTGCTGTTATTACCTGTGCATGGACTCATTGAACAAGGTTTCATTGAGCAGCTTGATCAACTTGTGACATTGAGCAAAGAACGGGAGTGTCACCGTTGGCTGTGTAGACATGAACAAAAGAGAAGCAGAGAAGAAATGGATACTCTCAATCACAGCAGAAGACTTTGAATACAGCAGCACCGCTCGAACTGCAGTAGCTACAACACAGTCTTGAAAAAGACAAGAACAACACTAGGAAATGCTCCCTAACAATCACCAGCCCGCTTGATTACTCCATCCCTCACTCACTCCTTCCCTCATTCCCTCCCTCCCTCACTCACTCCTTCCCTCCCTCCCTCCCTCCCTCCCTCACTCCTTCCCTCATTAACTCCCTCCCTCCCTCACTCACTCATTCCCTCCATCCTTCCCCCGTTCCATCAATCACTCACTCCTTCCCTCCTTCCCGCCCGCCCTCCCTTCATCACTCACTCATTCCCTCCCTCCTTCACTCACCAAACCCTGGGTGTCATTTAGTGATGCATTGCCAGGCAATGGTAGGTTCTCATGGATATGATTGACACTGGGTGCACTGGATGCAGATGATGGTGCTGCAGTACTGGTGTTGGATGGTGATGATGTTGCAGATGCTGCTGCAGATGCTGTTGCTGCTGATGCTGCAGACCCAGGTGGAGATGCGGACAGTAGACTTGCACCAGCGGGTGTAGCGGACACAGTAGATACAGTAGAGGCAGCCATTGATGCACTGGAGCTGGGCACTTGTCTCGTGGTGTTTGGCACGGAGGATAGCACAGGTGCTATGCTAGTACCTACTGAATGGCTGGTGGAGTTAGTGCAGTTTGTACACAGTGTTGCGGTGGTATTGTGCAGTGTGGTATTGTGCAGTGTTGTGTTGTGTAGCGTTGCACTGTGCAGCGTTGCATTTGCCTCCTCTAAACTGCGATTAGGATACCGATGGCATTCAAACAGAACATCTTCAAAATCTTTCATATTCTGCACAAGAAAAGAAAGAGACAGTAACCCAACAAGATACGTGAGAGTATGCATGTGACTTGTGAGTGTTGCCCATAGATCTAACCAGGCAGCTGCCTACTAGGTAGCATGTATATTAGTACAATACCTCACAAGACACAGCCAAGTTTTCATCTTTGCATGCCCCGAAAACCTGCTCACTCAGTAAAAAATATTCCAGCATTGGTCCTCCCCCCCCCACCCCCTCCCCCTCTACACCTCCATCTTTGTACAATAGAACCTCCCTTTATAGTGGACACCTATCAACAAAGATGTCTACATTGACGATATATTCAGGATGGGTTTAGGATACATTCAGGATAGATTAGTTCAGTCACGACTGTTCCTAATCGAGTACTAGGAATGCATTCTGTAATCATGCTACCTCGCTACTACTATAGTCACACAATGCACCCGGTTATCATTTGCAAAGTGCTTGTTGAGACGGATTGACCTGGGATAGAGGTGACATCCAGGATTGGTGAAGGAGTGTCGCACTATCCAGACTCAGCTGGGGTAGCAGCATTCTCGCACCCATCACACTGTAGGCCGCAATGTGGACGGCAAGTTCGCTGACCTCGTCACCAATGGCAAACTGAGCTGCGCATTGGGTTGGCTAGACTCCTATTCCAATGGTGCACCCATGCACCTAGATGAGCGTGTAGGGAATTCGACTGTCCGTGATATCCTCAAGGACAAGCACCCCCAGCCAGAGTCACTGCCAGAGTCACTGCCTGAGTCACTGCACGAAGACGCTGTGATTGAGGGTGACCCTCCAGAGCTCCCACATCCAGTCCGGTTGGAGTGTCTGACAAGGGGAGTGGTCCGAAGAGCTGCACTCAACACCTTTGGAGCAGCTGGCCTATGTTGATTGACTACGTCAATGTCAATCGACGCCACAGCAAGACCAAAAAGACCGCGGTAGGAAGTAAATGTATAAACTATAAAGTCCAGTTCTCAAAGCATAAAGGAGAATATGTGGCCAAATAGATACGACATTAAGAGCTATGAGTATGTTGACAAGCTCATGTGTGAGGTGGTGGCGGTTGCCCAATTCGTGGCGACGGATGTGCACAAGTTTTGCTGATGAGTCGGACCATCCGTGCGATGCACTTGCCTGCTGTGCCCGCAGGTTGGCGACATCGGTCGTTGACCCTACCTCACTGGAAGCCTACACAGCATGTTGGCTGATCCCTCTGGACAAGCGCCCAGGAGTAAGACCGATCGGAATCGGGGAAACCCTCCGACGAATTGTTGGCAAAGCCATCCTGTCCGTCATTGTTGATGACATCAAGGACGCAGCTGGAAGTCTTCAATTATGTGGAGAAAGGTCCACGTAATGCGTGCCACCTTTGAAAGCCCCGATCCTGATGGTGTTCCCCTAGCCGATGCATCCAATGCTTTTAACAGCCTAAATCGTGAGGTCTGTCTACAGGACATGCGCCACCTGTGCCCGTCACTTGCACCTCTTGTTGTTAACAACTACCGTCACTCAGCAAACCTGTTTGTTGGAGGAGAGACCATCCTGAGCCGCGAAGGGACGACGCAAGGCGACCCCATTGCCATGGCAATGCACGCCATAGGTATTGTCCCGCTCATCAAGGCCGTCTCAACAGCAGGAGCAGTCCTAGCCTGGTTTGCGGCGGACGATGCTAGTCTAGTGTCATGTGTTTGCGTGGAGCAAGAAGCATGTTCTCTCCCAGTGCATCTGCTGTTTCTGCACAGTCTGTGCTTGCAGAATCAGGCGATCTGGCCACTTTATTATTACCATGCTATGCTTAGATTTGCTCCTATCCACGATTCGTTTCCAACAACTTAAAAATTGTTCTCCTTTCTATTCACCTTTTATCCCTCACCCTTGAGTCTCTTCACGTTTTCTTCATTGCAGAGTTGAAACAAAATGGATTTCAGGTTTAAAAAAGAATACAACTTGGGTGAAGTTCTGACTCACAAACAGTTCCCGGGTACAATCCCACTTAGCCTGGGTTTAGGAGTTTTCAGTACATCTACTCCTCCTGGCTTGAGTGCATAGGTAAAATTCAGTGATGCGAATATTGGGAGGTTTACAGTAGGGTGATCAGCTGACCTACCTCACTGTCCAGTGGTGTGTATAGGCGTAGTGCCACTGTGCGTAGTTCACGATGTGATAGATGTCTACAGTACACAGCACCGGATACAGACAAACAGACAGACAAACAGACAGACAGACAGACAGACAGACAGACAGACAGACAGACAGACAGACAGACAGACAGACAGACAGACAGACAGACAGACAGACAGACACAAACAGTACAGCATAACTACATGCACATACCCAAAAAAAGGGTTGGTTAGCGCAAGCCAAAACGGAGCCGGAAGGCACTGGCGGTGGGCCTGCTCCCGGTTAGTCCCGAGCCAAAGGAAATCAGGTGCGTATGGCTACAACTGAAATGCCAAATTTACAACAAAGTAGTACAAAACGTGCCCAAATGCTACGACAGTATTTCCCATTGGAGCATGAATCCTATGTTTTCTTCAGTAGTTCATGGGACAGTAAGGGTCTTTCGGCATGAGTACATGAAAACCAGAGTGTGCAGCTCGGATGGGTGGCTGTCACAGCGGAATTCCGTGATTACATCATTTTAGTGATGTAGTGCGTACAAGCAGGATTCAAGCAGGTCTCTTTCTGCACAACTGCAGCTCAGTTGTACGCACTACGCCATTTCCCGCCTCAGATCTGCGCCAAAAATGATGTAATCACGGAATTCCGCCGTGACAGACACCCATAGCAGAAAAGGCCCCAAGCTGCACACTCTGGTTTTCATGTACTCTTGCTTTCGGTTATACCTTTTACTTCAGGTCGTGAAACTACTTCTAGACCTTTTATTGCTGTCTAGTAAGCGCCAGTGTCGAAATCATGCATGCAAACTTTGATGAAGTCACAAGAACTTGCTTACGTATCCTTAGCTCTGATCTTATCTTTAGGAAAAGCGAGGAAACTAGGGCAATCAGTGGTAACCAAGGCAACCAATGGTAACCAGGGTAACCAGTGTAGCCATGACACACAGAGTAGCTACATGAGGATAAAGAGTAACACTAGCCAGTCCTTGCAACAGCACACACACACAACACTGAAACAGCAACATCACTCACAACAGCAACATCACTCACAACAGCAACATCATTCACAACACAGAGCCCCTGGACATCACCACACACACTCCCAGCACAGAAACACAGAAGCACACACAGAGGATACCTACCCTGAATTGTCAACATCAAATTGTTCAAAGACCTCGGTAACATTGAACGGTTTCCTCTCGCTCATCATGTAGTAGAAATAGGAGAAGCTGAACTGCATGTCCTCGGGGCTACGCAGGCGGTGAGATGATGTCTCTGCAAACTCCTCAGCAAACCTACAGCCGTAGCAGCAACAGCAACAGCAACAGGAGTAATCCCCAGTTGGTTAATGTATTCACAGACAACAGCAACAGGAGTGATGGGGGTACCATGCCTAGGGTGTGTACACATTGCACTATCTGCAGTGTGATGTGTGCGTGTATATGTCCCTACTGACGCATAGCGTGCTCTTGTACTGTAACAAGGAGGAATGTTGGCATGTGACGGTACATTAGAAAAAATGCTGTTTCTTTACTTCAACTTGAAAAAAACTTGGTTTAGATTATGAGTACAAGGACAGGGTACGTACATCACAGGACAACACTGTCAGTGAATGACGATATGATCAATGCCGTAACGGAAAAGCCGAAGGCACACGTCCATCGTCTGGAAGCACATCCTGACCTTCTTCACAGGTACAATGCTGTAATCCAAGACTAGCTTACCAGGGGCATGATTGAAGATGTTCCTCTTGGTTCTACAACAAACCAAATCTGCACCATTCAGTCTAAAGCTCTCCCAAGAAACTAACTTCATGGCGTGTGCACAGTCAACGTGACAGGAGGCAGCATACTCACATTGCATGTAGACGCGCAAAGATCCTCTTGTCAATGAAATGCGGCATGTGAGCGGGCACCTTTCGACTCTTGAAGCCGAAAAAGCGATTGAACAAGCGGTTGACATGTCGCAGAGAGTCGGCGAACGTGTCCATGAGATGTCGGCGACCTGGTGCAGCTTGCGTGTGATACTGCTCCTCTGTTTTGCGTCTGTTGTGAAGTTCCTAGTCACAGTACATCAACAACACATCAGCACCACAGCAAGAGCAAGAGCAAGAACAGTATGACTACTAGAAGTACAGTCCTGGCCAGAGAAACCCGACCTCATGAATATACTAGCGCCGGGGGCTACGCGACCCTTGCACCACACACACCACTCTGCGCTGCTCACATGAGTGCGGTGCTATTTTATTCATGAGGTCGGATTTCTCTGGTCAGAACTGTACATGCATAGCCTTAGTTGCTTAGCATGACCAGTGATGTGTGAACGTACACATGCCGAGGTGGTTCTTTTCTGAATAGAACCATCCATTCTTCTGTACACAAGCACTCAGTGAATGCGTTCGATTACGCACTTGAATCGATTCATGAATGGAATCTTGCCGTTCGATTTCATGTCATGAGCCCTGGAATCGATTCGGAATCCACTCACCCTATTCACATGGGGTGGTGTGAATAGCCAGGGGCGATTCATGAGTGGATTCATGAATCGATTCAGGGGCATAATCGAACGCACTCAGTGTGTGTAATGGATGTATGTCAGCACACACAACATCCATACAGTAAGGTATGTCCACAAACACAGCAGCTACACAGGGGCTGTGTACAGCGTACATTCAGCAGCCACTCTGCTGTAGGGGAAACACCAGTCTTTCCTAGACACAGAGTCGTTCAAAAATAGTTTCAATTAACAGCTATCAGAAAAAAGTAAAAACAAAATAAAACCCCAACATACAGAGAGCTGCCTTTAATAGTGTACTCCTCTCCTCAATGCCACTGCCACTACTACTACCAGTGAATCATCCCAGCCCATTGAACACCTCATCATCCGGACACAGCGAATACTAATGGTGGCAAGGCAATAGAAATAAATCACTCTTTTTATCTTTGAAGCAGGTCAGTCTTCTAGGCAGCTGATAATGTAAACACCATGACAACCATGACCATGACAACATGGCAACCATGACCATGGCAACATGGTGCATCACATTGTAAACTAACTAACTGTAAGCATCTGTGTGAACGTATTCCGTTGCTCCCATGGCAGAGAGCCTGTTCCAACAAACTCTGTAGCAGCCTAAAAGCAAGAAGAACAACAAAGCAGAGAGTCGTTTTACTTGATACAAAGCCACAGCATACCGTCACAGCCTAGAAGTTTGCACAGTGTCAACGACCTACATGTATTATAGGCTGATAGGGTAGCGAGTTCAGACTCCAACCTTGGTAAACACCATGTCAAGAGTTCAGATCCCAACCTTTGATAGACCATGTCAAGCCAGCAGAGGTGCCAGAACAATCACAGAAGCCCCTCCCCCTTCCCCAACAACATACACACAGACACACAAGTGCACACACACACACACATGCCGGTACACACATACTGAAGTACACAGACCAAATGAGTGCACTGATTCAAGCTGACATAGAAGTTCACAGTTGGAAGTTGAAATGGGAAATTTCCATACAAAACCTACCTGAGTAGTGGCAGATTTCTCCCAGTCTTCCTGCGCCCTGCAAACACAGAAACAACAGAGACAGTCAGAGCGCAGCAAGGACAACAGAGAATACAATCGAGCACGAACAAAAGCCGTCTGTTTACCATCTACTACCAGTAAGGAGTGCCAGCTGTCTGCACCAGCTCACTCTGCACACTCCCCAGTAAAGACACTCCCCAGTAAAGACACTCCACAGTAAAGACACTCCACAGTAAAGACACTCCACAGTAAAGACACTCCACAGTAAAGACACTCCACAGTAAAGACACTCCACAGTAAAGACACTCCACAGTAAAGACACTCCACAGTAAAGACACTCCACAGTAAAGACACTCCACAGTAAAGACACTCCACAGTAAAGACACTCCACAGTAAAGACACTCCACAGTAAAGACACTCCACAGTAAAGACACTCCACAGTAAAGACACTCCACAGTAAAGACACTCCACAGTAAAGACACTCCACAGTAAAGACACTCCACAGTAAAGACACTCCACAGTAAAGACACTCCACAGTAAAGACACTCCACAGTAAAGACACTCCACAGTAAAGACACTCCACAGTAAAGACACTCCACAGTAAAGACACTCCACAGTAAAGACACTCCACAGTAAAGACACTCCACAGTAAAGACACTCCACAGTAAAGACACTCCACAGTAAAGACACTCCACAGTAAAGACACTCCCCAGTAAAGACACTCCACAGTAAAGACACTCCACAGTAAAGACACTCCACAGTAAAGACACTCCACAGTAAAGACACTCCACAGTAAAGACACTCCACAGTAAAGACACTCCACAGTAAAGACACTCCACAGTAAAGACACTCCACAGTAAAGACACTCCACAGTAAAGACACTCCACAGTAAAGACACTCCACAGTAAAGACACTCCCCAGTAAAGACACTCCACAGTAAAGACACTCCAAAGTGGCAGGAGTAGAGTGGAAACACAAAAGGGACGCAGTCACGCACAGTAGTAACAGTAGCACATACTTTGCCATTGTCTTCCTGGACGCTTGCTCCTTTTCGTCTGCCTCTAGAGACTTGGCTGATGTAATGCGCATAGGAAGTACTGTGGTGGCAGCTGAGTGGCTGGTTGTGTGTGGACTCTTGGTCTATGGCAGGGCAGGCAAAGCGCAGAGGTGATGAGAAGTGATGAGAAGTGATGCACAATATGATGACCCAGCTCAGAGTCAAAGACAACATGTAGCAGTATGCACTATGTAAGTCCTTTACAGGATCTTACAGGATCCAGCAACAACATGCAAAAGACATGTCTAGTATTTGTGTGTGCACTTGGGTGTTCATCCTACTCGTATGTAACATATGCAAAGTATACAGTGACCAGAAGGATCTGAAAGGTACAAATCAGACAATGCCGACTCAAAGTAATCTCAGAAAAGTACCTCAATCATTCACAATGTCGATGGCCTTTTTGCTGCTCAGGATGATTGATTCGATAAAAGCAATGATCCCATTGAGCTAGTGAACGTAAGAATGGGCTTCAAGATGCTTAATGGCGCATCAAATTCTGAAAACTATAGGAAATGCTCTCAGCACGTTCTTCACTACAGTCAGGTTTTAACAAATTTTCGCCCAAGTTTGACAGAGCCAGATGTGTAGAGTTGGAGGTCCAAAACCTAAAAGGCTAAATCAAAAATTGGCCTTTGAGCCTCAATTCGGTTCAAATTGATTCCAAAAAGCCCAGAGTACAAATAGTTTTTGGATGCACTGTAAATCTACACTCCGAGTGAAAGAATTCAGTTGCAGTACAACGTACAGTTAACTTCGCTTATAACGACACTCGGCGGGGCATCAAAAAAAGTGTCCTTATTCGCGAAGTGTCGTTATACCCGAAGTCTCATTATATGTATTACAGTTGGATGGAACTTTGCTCTGGGCATGGACATTCTGTCGTTATTAGCGAAGTTGACTGTACTAGGAGTATTTTACACCAGGTAGTGATTGCATAACCTACCTTTGCTGCTGATTTAGCAACTGGAGCAGCCGCCTCATTATCATCTTGATCTTCTGATCTTTTGTGCACCTTGTGAGAGGAGAGATGCTGCTGAGCTGAGTCAGACAACTTGTCTGCAGACACCTTTGTACTGTCACTAGTGTGTGCTGCGTGGCTGCTATCAGAACTGCTGCCAGCCTTTGCAGCTTTACCAGTGTGTTGTTGTTGCTGTGGCTGCTGCTGGTGTTTGTGTTGTGACGACGACGATGACTGCTGCGCTGGAGGGAGTGCAGTGGCAGCTTGCGTTGGCTGAATGTTTGCCTGATCCACACCATCATCAGCAGCAGCAGCATTATCACCATTGTCAGTAGTAGTATGCTGACTATCAAGTGATTGCTTGTGAGCAGGAATGTCATCACCAGTGTCAGCATGAACATCAGCATCATGACCTGGCACAGGTACAGGGCTTTCTTCTCTATCCCCGCCGTTGCCAGGACCATCAGTAGTGGACGGTTGTGCCGTAGGAACAGTCGTCGGGGGCATGGCCAGAGCGGCACCTACCTGGCGCCGGTACTCCGCCAGTACGACAGTCTTGTGTGGCGAGACTAGCGCATCGTAGAACTTATGATAACCTTTCGGCGTGATTTCCTCGTCGTGCAGCTGCCGCTTGAGGATGGTTACCTTGGCTTGGACATCCTCTGGTAGTACTGAGATGTTGGTGATGTTTGGCATGGTGGTAGGGTAGTCACGGACACTCGGTGTTGTGGACCAGTGGCTGTACACGGCAATGGCACAGTAAACATGGAAACAATTGACATCAACTGTACAGCAATCCCATGACCAACCAAGTTAGTTAGTTTCCAGCGGTCGGTACAGGAATGGGATGAACGAGAAGCTCGGGAAATGAAATCAGATAGTACAAGAGTAATGTTGCACAGAGGTTAGTACTTTGGCATGCAACAAACTAGAGTGTAGACTACAAATCACAGAGAGTGATCTATTGATGTGAGCAGACTATGAAGTCTCAGGAGCTGTGAAATGTCACATGTGTGACCACTGACCAGGGACCAGCCATGTGAGTCTTGTGACAGGTTCCTAATAACAACGTCAATCCTGCATGTGATGTTGTCATCCTGAATGTAACTGGTCAGTGGTCATCCTGAATGTGGTCATGCGAGCAAGCAACACTGTACACTCAGACGTCTCTTATCCGGGCACCTTGGGACCGGGCACTGCCCGTATCTCAGATTTGCCCTTATCTCGGGATAACTCATCTACCATGTATCATTATCATTTTTGAAGAAGTTTTTTTGGCGCATATTGCACCTGTTCAGGTTACAAAAATAATCCATGGATAAAAATGTGTGGATTACACAGGTTGGGAGTGACAAATAAGCACTTGTGCATTCGGAAGAAAAGTTCAACCCCCCAAATTCGAAGCATTTTTGCCATAGGAACTCAAGCTGAGGGTGGCCGGTAGAGAGACGTGCCCGTATCTGAGGCGTCCGGATAAGAGGCGTTTGAGTGTACACAGTTACACATGCTAGATGACATAATGCACACAATATGACATTGTCACAATGTGTTAGTTCACCCGTCCATCTATCCATCTGCATATCTGGTACAGGGAACAAGGTACATGGTACACTGTACACGGTACATGGTACATGATACATGGTACAATGATCTCCTAGTACACGATACATGGTACAAGACACACGGTACATGGTACATGGTACAAGACACACGGTACATGGTACAAGGTACAATGATCTCTTACCTCGGTATGCCCTGCATCCAGAACAGGATTGACTGGTCCGTGGGCGCTGTCAAGTTAGCTGGTAGCGTCTGGGAATAGCAAGAAGAACAGTAGCACCACCGCCGTCAAGCAAACAGTGACACGCACACACACGCATGCACACCTCCACCCACTAACCTCCCCCCCCCCCCCCCCCCCCCGCACACACACACACACATAATTACATTGTATATGCAACATACCTGCTCCACAAAAACTTGTGGTGCAACTTCAAAATTACCTTCTTGGTGAGCGAAAATTGCCTTGCATCATTGTCAAATGAATAAAATACTTTCTACAAGTAATTGTCAAACACACTGTGTGCAGTAAATGTGCAATTTGCGCAAAAACCACACGCTCATATGATTAGCTTACAGGTGGGACAGTAGCGGAGATAGTTGCGTTGGAAGTAGCATTGGCTACTGTAACATTGCCCTGGTCTTCTCCAAGGTGTTTCGTATCAACGAGTAAGTTAAATCTGACCTGCTCAGCACAAACACAAACACACACAAACATACATAACCTTATGAACACGACAAAGCAGGGCACATAGTAGATCGACAGGCAGATAGATACTAGTCGATAGGGTAGACAGGCAGGAGGGCAGGCAGGCACACTACATCACGCCGCATCACACTTTACCTCAACATTGGTTGTGTTGCCAAGCTCCCCAGAAAGAAAGAGAGACACAGTACTGAGTGAGTGATTGCGGTTAAAGACCATTGTCAGAACTTTGAACTTCTGAGAGACGATGGCTGCACGCACGACGGATGAATCACTGAAGTCGCCAGAACTGACTTTGGTGAACGTTTCACTCAAGTTGAAGTAGACCGCATGGTTTCCTGAGCACAGATAAAACCAAAGTAGCATTGTTCGATACAGCAATGTAGTCCGCAGTCCAAGTGCTCAAAATGTAGCCCTAAAAAAATTCCGTTCGCCACGACGGGGCACCAAGGTTTGATGTGGGGGCCTGAAAGAGGACCCCTTGAGGTACCCAAAGCAGTCGAGAACTGCTTCTAGATCTGGGGCGCTCTCTCGATAGAGGCGAATTTCTTCGGGGCAAATCCATGCACAAGTTTCGCGGAGCGTAAGTTTGAGCATGCATCAAACCCACTCAAAAGTTCAAATTTGAAATCTCGCACAATTGGAGTGCCACGTGGTGTGCTTCAGATGTAAAAACGTATTCCTGGACGGTACTCTGCAGGATTTAGGTTCTAGGTCGATCGGGTGTGCCTCGCCTATGCCATGGTTTCACGTATTTTGGCAATACCAACTGCAGTGATGAGCTCCTGCCGAGTGCTGGCCGGCCTGGTACATGGTGCTATCTCCTCTGTAGCGGAACCCGAAACGAATAGAACTCTGAAGTGTATTCACACTTGTGCCAAAATTAATATTCTGACAGCCTGCACGGCATCCGAGGAGTCCGCAGTTCGATGGACAGGACTCATCAATCGCTACGAGCCCTTGTTGTTGAACCAGAAGAAAAAATATGCCTGTTTTGTGGCACGCTGAAACAAATAAGCGAGCTGTACAACCAAGCAGGCGACATCTCAACTCGTGACAGTGGAAGCAGAAAAGAAATAATTGCGGAACGCTGCTGCCACACGACACGATCAAAGGATTATGGCAGCAATCAGTTCAGCGAATCTGATCGCTAGAGAGGTACACTACCATAAGTCTTGCTATCATTCATGCACTTATGCAGATACTCTCGCTAGGATTGTAGCAAGCAGACAAAAGACGCACATTGCAGACCTCACTGCCTCATCGAATTCCTCGGAGGATGATTTCTTCTCTGCTGTAGGCAGTGGACTACTTGATGACTGTGTTCAGAGGTGTAGCCAGGATAGTGATCAAGGTGGTTTCCTCGACGTTCCCACACAAAAGAGCATGCCTTCATTGTGGTCCTTTCATGTCGGCCGATATTTATATATTTTGTTATTACACAGACAGAAGAACGTGCAGTTGGGTAACTCTGAGTTTCATGAACTGAATCAATGCGATCAGACGAACATTGATACTGACCTTGGCCTGAGAGTGCTACTAATACTAAGTCCGCTGCGCTTGCCACATTCATGGTATATATCAGTACTCTCAGGGCAGGGTCAGTATCAATCTTCGTCTGATGATCGATTTAGTTCGTGAAACTGAGGGGTACGAAACCGCAACTGCTCGTTCTTCAGTCTGTGTATTCCGCTCTTTGCCTTCGACAAATTGAGCCATCTACGGACAGTGGATGAACGTCACATGGTATTTTTTGTTATCATAAACACAACGGCTCTACGGAGAAACATGTGGAGAACATAACAGCATAAAACAAGACATTCAAAGCGGATGATGTACATTATAAGGATGACGTGCCGCACTGTGTACCGTACTAACCATTCCAAAATGGCCAATCATCCGACGACATAGTCAAGTGCAAGTAAGAACGCGTAGATTGGTTTCAGATTTTTTTTAAAACCACGTAAGTCCGAACAGGGATGGCTACAGTGTGCGATGTGTAGAGTTGTGGTCCGCGCGTTATGGTCTTTCTTGAACGAGCTGCAAACCAAGATCGAATTCGGTTTTTTGGGGGGGGGGGGGGTGTGCTTTGGCACCCCAAACACCCCTTCGTATGCCCCTGGTGTTGTCGTGTCCACTGCGTAAGTACAGTTAAAAATAGTTCATTCCCTTTGTTTGACCATACCTGGTCTTTGGGTCGCAATATACACAGAGGTTAACTATCAGCATTGTCTAATATTTTGCGGAACTATTTCCCTAGTTCGAAACAAATTTGATGCCGCATTTCTTTATGTTTAGGTGCTGACACACACACTGCATTTTCAGCCACTGCATTGCTGTAAACCATTACGTTGACTTGCACTTGAAGTAAATGCACTCCTTCTAAGGCCGACTCCAGTGTGCTTGGCACGGGTTTTCTCATATCAGTCTCTATACATGTAATTAATTAACTCGTCTCATCAGGTTTCCTTTGTGTATTTTGTTGTCACATGTAATTCTAGAACATATAATTATTAGTATTATTGCTTTGAACTCATCCGTTATGCGATAGTGTGGTTGTAGGTGCAAACTGCAAGGTAGTACATGACATGACAACTGTGTCGCATGTTGCGTCATACTGTGCAGTACTATTTCTCCTCTCTACATGCCTATACTTCATCCAAATTCGGTAAAATTTCGCATGCTGGCTCTCCTCAGCCTCTGTGGCTCGAATACAGTTCACAAACATCGCTATGATGCTTGCAATAGCCTCAAAATTCAAATTCATGATCCAGTTGCCATGGCAACGCGTAGAAAAACAATTGTCGCGATTTGGTCAACAAAGCCCCAACACAGCTAATCAAGAGACACATGCCTGGAAAGCCCTGCTCTTGCTCTTTCATTTGGTCATGTCAAACCTTGGTGCCCTTTCGTGGCGAACGAAAAGTCACAATTCTGCACCCTGGACTGCGGACTAATGGTAGTGCATTGTGCTTCCAGTGTGCGTATGTGTTTATATGCTTGTCCACAGAACAACAACTTCAACTGACAATTGTCACATTACAGGATAGGCTTGAGGCATACAGTGTGCACATACAAAAGTACACACACACACACACACACACACACACACACACACACACACAACAATATCATTGGGCAAACAAATACATAAATAATCCTATAGCAAGATGTGGCCAGCAGCAAAGTCAGCAGCAGTAGCAGCGTTGCCATCAGCAGCAGGCACGCAATGTTCTATCAACATGATTCAGCAGGCATGCGTACCTGTAGGGACAGTGACATTGCCCACAGCGGTGTTGAGGGGATGTGACCAGAGACGATGGTAGTTTCCAACCTCACAATCGCCACCATCAAAGCCGCACTCCAACACATTGCAAGCCTGCATACAACCAGAGCAAGACCAACACTCACACACACACACACACACACACACACACACACACACACACACACACACACACACACACACACACACACACACACATGCACGCGCATGCACACACACACACACACACACACACATGCACGCGCATGCACACACACACACACACACACACACAACATGTAGAATAATTGATGCAAAGGCACGTACAATCAAGGACCAAACCAGGAAAACCTATACGAGGACACTCAAACATGGTTTGCTGCTAGTCCATCAGCTGCTATTAGTGAAGTTCTGCTATATGTGAGAATCGCAGCAAAACATGATACCCAGATATCAACCTCTTGCTTGGCCAACTGATATGCAAAGTCTTTTTGATACAATGGAAATGCAAAGGAAACAATCAGGTCCAAGCCAAGAGTCAATAACCAAGAATATGTAACTGTGATCTCTTGTCTATGGGCCAGATGTGTGGTGCGCTGACTTCATTACATCGTGCAGCTACATCAACAAAGCACCACTCTTTTTCATGTGATTTGAAATCAACTGTCGTGCGGAATGAAGTTCATGCTCGGGAAATGTTGAGATCACGTCGTTCCTCAACGAATCAAGCAGAGCCGGCTGTGCTGATATGAGATTGTGGGTTTGAGTGCATAAGTGCAGGGTATGAATCAGGCAAGTTACTTAGTGAAGGCAGCGCAGCTCAGTGACCCATGATCACCGTTGCATATAGTACCGAGAGTCCATGAACAAGAGTAGTCCATGCAACTGTGGCTATGGCCTTTATGGGCCTGTACGCAGCACAATGCCTTCACTACGTGACTTGCCTGCATCATGGCATGTACTCATGCACTCAAACCCACAATCTCTCATACCAGCACACCCGGTTTTGCTCAATTTATGGAAAGTGTGGTGTTTGATTTTCTGCAGTGCGCGGATGCAGCCACATATACATGATGCATGAGCTTGTAAGGAAGGAATGAAGGCGTAAATACTCTTGTTTATGGACTCTTGATAGTGCTCTTGTCAGTCCTGATGCAGGATTCGTAAAAGGTGCAAAATAAAAATAAATAAAAAGGAAACCTTTCCCACACCGGGAATTGAACCCGGGCCGTCTGGGTGAAAACCAGAAATCCTAACCACTAGACCATATGGGAGTTGGATGAAAGCTAGATGTCTGGCTTCAGTTTTGATACCTCTTCAAGACGGCTAAACAAGGTCAGAGGCAATTATTTCCACGACACATGCCGTATCGGGGATCACCTTGGTAATGGCACCACACACGCCATATTGCCCACGTGAGTGCATATTGTGGCCAGTAGAGGGGGGGGATTCTGTGAACAAACTTTGACCGAAACAAGGTCCAAATCTAATCTCCTTGTTTTCCAGGTTTCCAGATTGTAGATTGCCATCCTCCTTCCCCATCCCCTCCTCCGCACATCCACACAATCGTAACAGTAGCTTCATTTTTCAGGTTGCATAAAGGTCTACAAGGGGAAGCTAGTTCTACCTGTCTACATACGAAGTGAGTGCAGTTTGAAGTAGAAGAATACCCTTGCATATGCAGGCTTATAATTGGTTCTCCGAAACACGGAATACCCGGAACTCATTCAGTCTCCCACGCGCTGCCTCCACCCTATTCAATAGATCCCCGATCTTTGCTGGCTATGTGTTTTGGGCAACATTACCAACGCAGGCCAAGACCAGCACGTCGATGGATAATTTTGTTGCTAAAATCTCTGCTCAATTATAGGTTTCATGTATATCCTGCTGGTTTGTCTCCTCCTTTGCCTTTTATTTGTAGTCTTTTATCTGTTTTACTGCTGTGGTTGGCTTTCACCCTTGTCTCAGTTTTACTGGCCGTCATCATGATGTGCCATGAGATAATGATATAAATACAAATACAAGTGACTTTCTTACTTTCGTTTACACGAGTTTGAGAGCAAATACACAGTGCATGGCCATTAGTACGTACGGTATCACAATAGCGATCTCCAATCCAAGTATCAGCACAACTTCCATGACAATACTTTGATTTGTCTGCAAAGAAACACACAGACACACACAGACATACAGTACAGGTGATGCACAGATGTAGGCAGCATGTTTGGCACAAAGGGCTGTCAATCATTACTAGCGATTATCACCACCACCACCACCACTGGTCCTGCATTGAAACAAAATACAACAGTCGGTATTGCTTTCTCCCCTTCTCTCTCTCTTGGACCTATTCGTACACTCTTCTTCTCAGGCAGCTGCCCAATCCAGCTTTTAACAGAAATTCACTATACGACATACAGCACAGTCATGTGCTCTTGCTAATACAGGTTCTGAGGATGGGCCTGGCGTGAACAAAAAAAGTATTCAATACATGTTTTACCACTGTGAACTCCCTCAACCATCTGAATATAATGTTCTTATCAGGAAATACTAAACAATGCTTGACTCATATCATATGTACATAAGTACAGCAGCAGTGGAGTCTTCAGTTTCATAGCACTGAACAATGGTTTTCAGTACTCCTGGGTTACTGAAGCGTTGAGACTGTGTGCACGGTGGTGAGGATACACTGTACCTGAGTTGGTACTTTGAAGTACAGTCAGACCTCGCTTAACCGCACACATCCGTTTTCCAAAAAAATATCCGGATAGGCGAGGGAACCGGATAACCGAACACCGTTTATGTTGGATGCATCACGTATGCTGTAAATATGTAACCCGCTTTTTTCTTCCGGATGGCGAGGGATCCGGATAAACGAGGACCGGATAAGCGAGGTCTGACTGTAGTCGCCAAGCACACATGCAATCAACACAATGTGTTGTACATGTCATGATGTAATCAGCATATGCACTGGAAGGTTAGCCATACACTAGTCTCCTGCCCGACTCAGTGAAGAGCAGCGTTAGTGTAATGTACCAGCTATAACAACACACAATAAGAAAACATAGATTTTGAGACTGAAACCCAGTAGTTCACCTTTGTTGGCCCATGTACTGCTAAATGAGCTGTAATGGCGCTTCTGTCCCGGTTTTAAACCTGAAGAAAGAATACAAACATACACAGGAGAGCCTTGGGAAGTTACGACAATATTGACATGACCACTACCAGTTCTGCCCCAGAACACATGCACACGCCACGCACATACACACACACACACACACACACACGCACGTACGCACGCACGCATGAACACATACATACACACACACACACACACCAAACACATACACGGACACACAGACTACACCAGCGAAGGTCCAGCTACAAGATGCATGAAGCATGAATACAATAGGCAACTGAGCCACACAGCAGGAATGCGACTTGAAGTAATGTTTGAATTGCTGCATAATGCCAGTGTTCCCAATACCCACATGCCCCAGCATATCCCCATGAAATACAACACAACACAATATCAAGAGCACACACAGGCTATCCCCATGAAACACAACACAACACAACATCAAGAGCACACACAGGCTATCCCCATGAAACACAACACAACACAACACAATATCAAGAGCACACACAGGCTATCCCCATGAAACACAACACAACACAACATCAAGAGCACACACAGGCTATCCCCATGAAACACAACACAACACAACATCAAGAGCACACACAGGCTATCCCCATGAAACACAACACAACACAATATCAAGAGCACACACAGGCTATCCCCATGAAACACAACACAACACAATATCAAGAGCACACACAGGCTAGGCACATGACACAGTCATCAGAATAAGAGGATGAAAATTTACTCCGAGTTCCACACACTGACTGATCATCAGAAAACAGCTATTGGCCAGCCCGGAACCTCTCTGTTTTATTAAAGGCAAAGCCATCTAGAGTCCATCATATGGCAGCTTACCAAGACAATCTCCACCATCCCAGTCACACAGTGATGTGTTGCAGGCTGAATCGCAGTATTTGTCCCTCAGCCAGCTGTTAGGGCATCCTTTATTACACTGCGGAACTGACCATGCCATATATACCTGAAACACATACATAACATCAACAGTCACATTTTTACACACATGCAGCTACACATGCAAATACAGTCAACTTTGCGTATAACGACAATCTGCGGGGCATCAGAAAAGTGTCCGTATTCGCGAAGTGTCCTTATCCCCGAAGTCTCATTATATGACATTGTATGACAGTTAGATGGGACTTTGGTCTGGGCATGGAAATTCTGTCGTTATTCGCGAATTGTCGTTATATCCGCAGTCGTTATTAGCAAAGTTGACTGTACAGCAAAGACAGAGTACAAAACGATGAGGTCTACTATTTCAAGGGTGGATTGCCGGGTCCGTAGTCAACTTGCACAGCTGATGAAAGAATGCAAAGAAAGCGGGAACACAGTCCAGGATATCTCCACACCCCCACCCCCACCCCCACCCCCACCCCCACCCCACCCCCACGCATAAAACCCAACACCGTAAATCATATTTCATAAACCAATAGGATCCGTCAACAGTGAAATAAAAGCTCTTCAGAGCCACATAACTATTGTAAATGCTGCCGTGCGTTCAGGATTCTAGTACTATGGTAGCATCGGTGACACATTCAAAAAGTGCTATAAAAGTTTCAATGACTGTGGCCTAGAATTTTGCTTGATTGCACAAGCATGGAATTCAGAGTAGTGACAAACAAGCCTTGCCCTTGTTGTTCTGTGTAAGCGTTTCAATGACTGTGGCCTACGAACGTTATGCAAGCAAAACTGCTATGAGATATAAGAAATAGTGGTAGCAACTTCGGCAATATCAGAGGAATAGTGTGTTGCTCCAGATGCACTCGCGCTTTCCCTGCCGATTTGACTTGGCACTTGACTGACTTACAAAAATACAATCGATTTTCATACATGCCAAACAAGGGTAGCAAACATCACAAATAGGCATACATCCATGTATACACATGTCAGACAGGGGTAGCACGCAAGACACTACAAAGCAAGCACCCTTTTACCTTGTGCCCACGTGAATGCGTGTAGAAATCATCTGGCCAAACCTTCTGACCAAACATGACATCATCGTTGAGATAGAGAAACCTATCTGACAGTCCATCTATGCGGAAGAGATGTGATTCTATAGCTGGTGAGCTGAATGTAGGCAAGTGAGACTGATTGATGAAGATGTCCTGGACCATACATACATAGACACACACACACGCACATAATTATGTAGTTAGAGATAGGTTGATCCCTTGTCTGGGTCGCACTGCTTGGTGTATGTCTACTAATGTATGAGTGTGCATGCCTGCACAATGGTGTGTGTTGGGTGTGTGTGTGTGTGGGGAGGGGGGGGGGGGGGTGTGAGGGACGTGGCAATGTAGGCTGCACTACACAGTCACGCACTACAAGTCCTCTAGTACCTTGTGTGCCACAACCTTGATGCGAGGATGGTTGAGGTTGAGCCAGCGAGGTATCTGGCCATTAGTCACAATGTAGATGTTACGAATCCAGGGGGCATTCTTCTCCAAGGCACGCAGGGAGAAACGCAACTCCTTTGTGCACAAACACAAAGATGTACAAACACAAACACACATAGTTACAGTGTCTGCTCTAGGATTGTAGGGCAGCCGGGTACACGTGTACCTGGCGCAACCATTTCAACCGGGTCGGAGCCGGGTACACATGTACATACCTGGCGCTGTCTCACCAGCCGAGTCACATGCTTTAACTGGTTGGTTAGTTTATTTTAAAATTGGGACAATAAACGGGAACTAGGTCCAATGATATAAAGGCGAATGGATAAGCCGCATTTAGAAAAGAGAGGACAGGAATTAGAAGATTACGAAAGAAGAAGAAGTATCTGACACATACAAGCCATGTAGTAAGTCCTTTCAAAGTTCGACAGTACCAACCAGGTCACAGGTGACCCGGTATTCTATTTTCAACCGGGTCCAAGCACCGCCCAACCGGGTGGATTACCCGGCTCACCCGGCGCTGGAGCAGACACTGAGTTATATGAAAGCACGTGAACACACACACATACACACATACAGATGTGTAGACAGGCAGACCTTCAACATGTTCAGCCCCTGCAGCAGCAACAACAGCAAGGGCTGCAGTTCTCTCTCTCCCCCTCTCTCTCCTCTCTCTCTTAGGTCTAAGCTGTGAGCTATTTTAATACAAGAAATCAGCTTGAAGGCCCATGCATTGCTGAAGAGGATGATACACTGTACACAGTAATCACAAGTGTGCTGTAAATGTGTACTGGAGAGAACAGCCAGAGTACCACTATGGCAACAAGTGTTTCGGTTGTGTAACGAACACATCATATTCTCAAAAATGGAAGCTCTTTGCCAGCCAGAGGAGCACCATTATAGCGCCAGCCTCAGTACTTCGGTGAAAAGCGAGAAAGCCGGTGTGCAGGTCGTCGACTGCATTACACCAGCCTACAAAAAAAAGGCTCGGAGACACAGCTGATCGTTGATTCCTCACCCCTTTCTCCCCACCTAGTACTAGAAATATGGATACGTGGGTTGTTGGGTAATGTTTGGCCAGCTTAAGTACTGGGACATTTCGTCTGGGCACTTCTAAATGTGTAGTATGGACCCTGTGGCCCATCATCCTCGCCCTCGCCATCATACCATTCAAAGTTGATTTCACAAACTTACATGGAAGACCACAACTTCTCAAACCAATGGCACAAACAAAGGCATAGAAGCCCCCATCATGCCCAGATAGCAGACATACAACGAGCAACACTCAGCCCCTACCTCATTGTCCTGGAAGCGACTGGCTGACGATATGTCATCAGTTTCAGGCAAACCAGTCTGAATACAGTCATGCCAACACACAAAACACACACACACACAGTCCCAAACAGACAGACAGACAGACAGAAGGACAGATAGACGGACATACAGAGACACAAATGAAAATAATGAATATATCCGGTAGAGTGGAGCTGCTTTGACCAACAGACCACAGCAGTAGTGCTTCCCTCCAAGTCCGATAAAGCATGTTTTACGGGCTATTGTCACATGCATTCATCTACTGAAAATGTACTACAAACAAAAGTCAATACATCTTTCTACCCAATGGTCTTTCGTATTCTATGTGTGAAATGCTCTGTGCTCAGCATATCAAGCATTGCTTCAGCAGCTGCTGTTACTTCTCTGCATCTTTCTAGTTTCTACCACGGATAATAGAATGCAGGGTAAGTAATGACATGCTTACATGTACAACATGCATGCAAGAATAAGAAGAGGGTGAAAATTTGTGTTGTAACTACGAGTTTCACGCACGAGGCGATCATCAGATCATCCGTTTTCCTGTACAACATACATGTATGGTGACATGAGGGCTACAATGTACTTATGTCCTTTACCAGAACATAACTTACTGGAGCATTGGGGTCCTTGAGCTCATCCCACACAAGATACCCATAGGATAACTCCACTTGCTTCTCCTGCAGGGTCAGTTCACTTTTGGGCTACGAACACACACACAATACAAGTCAACACAGCCAAACATTCATCAAAACACCCACCCACACCCACCCACACCCACCCACACCCACCCACCCACCCACACCCGCACCCACCCACACCCGCACCCACCCACATCACGAACAGCAAAGGGTCTACTACATGTATACTGACGGAAGCCAAGCACACACATCAGAACGGAACAAGAGAGCACTACTTATATAGACTAAGACTGTCACGGGAGAATAGACGCACAACTGAAAGAGAGTGACCTTCCCCTCCCCACCCCACACACCCACACACACATACACACACCCAGCAGGCACACCCATACCCACTCAGCACGCACACCCACACCGAAAACTACACATTAACTTACGGTAGAATACGCTTTAGAGGCGAACGTGCGGTTCCAAAACCGTAAAACAGCACTGTTGTTTGCTGACCAAAGATGAGCCTACGAACCCAGAACACAAAACACAAGATGAGCCTACGTAATGAATAAGAGAACCCAGAACACAAAACACAAGATGAGCCTACGTAATGAATAAGACAACCCAGAACACAAAACACAAGATGAGCCTACGTAATGAATAAGAGAACCCAGAACACAAAACACAAGATGAGCCTACGTAATGAATAAGAGAACCCAGAACACAAAACACAAGATGAGCCTACGTAATGAATAGGAGAACCCAGAACACAAAACACAAGATGAGCCTACGTAATGAATAGGAGAACCCAGAACACAAAACACAAGATGAGCCTACGTAATGAATAGGAGAACCCAGAACACAAAACACAAGATGAGCCTACGTAATGAATAAGAGAACCCAGAACACAAAACACAAGATGAGCCTACGTAATGAATAAGAGGACCCAGAACACAAAACACAAGATGAGCCTACGTAATGAATAGGAGAACCCAGAACACAAAACACAAGATGAGCCTACGTAATGAATAGGAGAACCCAGAACACAAAACACAAGATGAGCCTACGTAATGAATAAGAGAACCCAGAACACAAAACACAAGATGAGCCTACGTAATGAATAGGAGAACCCAGAACACAAAACACAAGATGAGCCTACGTAATGAATAGGAGAACCCAGAACACAAAACACAAGATGAGCCTACGTAATGAATAAGAGAACCCAGAACACAAAACACAAGATGAGCCTACGTAATGAATAAGAGAACCCAGAACACAAAACACAAGATGAGCCTACGTAATGAATAAGAGAACCCAGAACACAAAACACAAGATGAGCCTACGTAATGAATAAGAGAACCCAGAACACAAAACACAAGATGAGCCTACGTAATGAATAAGAGAACCCAGAACACAAAACACAAGATGAGCCTACGTAATGAATAGGAGAACCCAGAACACAAAACACAAGATGAGCCTACGTAATGAATAAGAGAACCCAGAACACAAAACACAAGATGAGCCTACGTAATGAATAAGAGAACCCAGAACACAAAACACAAGATGAGCCTACGTAATGAATAGGAGAACCCAGAACACAAAACACAAGATGAGCCTACGTAATGAATAGGAGAACCCAGAACACAAAACACAAGATGAGCCTACGTAATGAATAAGACAACCCAGAACACAAAACACAAGATGAGCCTACGTAATGAATAGGAGAACCCAGAACACAAAACACAAGATGAGCCTACGTAATGAATAGGAGAACCCAGAACACAAAACACAAGATGAGCCTACGTAATGAATAAGAGAACCCAGAACACAAAACACAAGATGAGCCTACGTAATGAATAGGAGAACCCAGAACACAAAACACAAGATGAGCCTACGTAATGAATAAGACAACCCAGAACACAAAACACAAGATGAGCCTACGTAATGAATAGGAGAACCCAGAACACAAAACACAAGATGAGCCTACGTAATGAATAGGAGAACCCAGAACACAAAACACAAGATGAGCCTACGTAATGAATAAGAGAACCCAGAACACAAAACACAAGATGAGCCTACGTAATGAATAAGAGAACCCAGAACACAAAACACAAGATGAGCCTACGTAATGAATAAGAGAACCCAGAACACAAAACACAAGATGAGCCTACGTAATGAATAAGAGAACCCAGAACACAAAACACAAGATGAGCCTACGTATGGAATAAGAGAACCCAGAACACAAAACACAAGATGAGCCTACGTAATGAATAAGAGAACCCAGAACACAAAACACAAGATGAGCCTACGTAATGAATAAGAGAACCCAGAACACAAAACACAAGATGAGCCTACGTAATGAATAAGAGAACCCAGAACACAAAACACAAGATGAGCCTACGTAATGAATAAGAGAACCCAGAACACAAAACACAAGATGAGCCTACGTAATGAATAAGAGAACCCAGAACACAAAACACAAGATGAGCCTACGTTATGAATAAGAGAACCCAGAACACAAAACACAAGATGAGCCTACGTAGTGAATAAGAGAACCCAGAACACAAAACACAAGATGAGCCTACGTTATGAATAAGAGAACCCAGAACACAAAACACAAGATGAGCCTACGTAATGAATAAGAGAACCCAGAACACAAAACACAAGATGAGCCTACGTAATGAATAAGAGAACCCAGAACACAAAACACAAGATGAGCCTACGTAATGAATAAGAGAACCCAGAACACAAAACACAAGATGAGCCTACGTAATGAATAAGAGAACCCAGAACACAAAACACAAGATGAGCCTACGTAGTGACTGAAAGAATCCAGAACCTAGCACAAGATGAACCTGCGTAGTGGATGAGAGAGAACACAATGTACATGTGTAGAGTGGACGGCACATCGGAACAGTCCACACAAAACTGAACAGGCTCAGATTAACTTTCCGTTTTGGTATTTTGATTCGAACACTTGTAGGGTAAGATAATAGGGAGGTTTAGTCCCACCCAATGGATACGGGAACGTGGGTGATACACGTAAAGTTCATGCAATGGACCCACGTTCGCGATGTTGTCTTTAGTCACACGGAACAAACAAAAGCACGAAGCGAAAGGCCTAAACTGCCATGTTTCGCTCCCAGACAAATGTCCATCTTACGGTAATAACCAGAAGCGTCATGGCATGCAGGTTACAATTACTGAGTACAGTTTGAGTTGCACTTCGTATGAAAATCAACTTTGCGGCGGGACCACCAAAACGGTATGTCTTATGCAGCCGTTACCTAAGTTCATCATAACAATACACCTTTGTATATGCTCTTACGGAGGGAAAATCGGCGCAATGACATGTGTACGTAATCACCAGGTATACGCCATATCCGTGTCTGTACGAACTGACTTTCACTATAGTTTAAAATCCGGGGTGAACTTCCAGTGGACTTCAAACTGTTCCGTTCTGGGGTTACCTGGTCATCATTAGGGGTGCTTTGTACAAAGTGGCATCACCGTGACAGCAAGCTCTGGTTTTCCACTCCATACAACATATATAATAGATATGGGGTGATGTCAACCATATGGTCTCAACACACGCATGCACCTATAAGCCAGCAACAGTCACAGCTACTTACTTCCAGCACAGTTCCATTGAAGGTACGGTTTGCAAACGATATGACATCACTCAAAGCGACATTCTCTGCAAGACCCTTCATAACAAGGTGATCCTCTAAGGACGAGGCCCGTTTCAACGTCGACAGTGTTGACTGAACACACACACACACACACACACACACACACACACACACACACACATACACACACACACACACACACACACGTACGCATGCACACACGCACGCACGCACGCACACACACCCACACACACACCCATACCCACACACACGAGTGAATCGGATCAACACACAGGTTCAACACTTGGTGATGGACTTTAGCGAGTGGAGCACCCGATATAGTTCCAAGAGTGTATACACTGTACTAAAAGACCTACTATACATACTGCATATACTATACATACTGCATCTACTATACATACTATACATACTGCATATACTGCATATACGGCATATACTATACATACTGCATTATGCAGCATATACTATACATACTGCATATACGGCATGCCCTGTAGATCTGCTGTGTATCTGCTCATGTGGGCCAGCGAACATCTTTGTAGTATAACTATGCAGTTACTTTACACATACGGCCCTCCATCCATGAGCAAAGTCGGGCAGAGGCAGTAACAATAGTGAGTTCACCATGCTGCTTTTAAACAATAACAGATTGATAATGATGACTGAGAAATGTGAGAATATATCACAAATGCACTTGCAACTTGCAAGTATATCAATATCATCGTGCTGGCTCCATGTCCAAACACCATAGCAAAACGTTAATGCCAGTTGACTTACCACATAGCATTCGGTGAAACCCAGACTCTTGTTTCCCCAAGTAACATTGGATTTCTTGAGCGTGAACAAGTCAGCCTTGACTGAGAATTACAAAGCAGAAAGCAGTTGTGGACAGACACAGACAAACACGGCAGCACAGTTAATACTCCATCATCACACCAAGACCAAGTACAGGGTGCTGGTGGGAGGACCAAGATGAGAGACGCTTCAATAACGATGAACAAAAGCGTGTGCGTGCATGCGTGCGTACATGCAGATGGGTGCACATGCAAACACGAGTGTGCATGTATGCGTGGATCATATATTTTAACAAAATGGCTGCATCACCAACTACACATAAGCAGACGTGCCGTCTCTGGGAAAAGACAACTCACGCGACTCTTTGCTGGCGTACACCAAAGCCATCGCCTCTTCACCATGCCAACCACCGGCACGGGTCTTGAACACACGCTTAGCACTGGAAAAGCCTATTCTTTGAAACTGCTCAACAGTGGTGTTGTCAGGCATGTGTAGCTGAACAACTATTGTCACGAACGGTAGGCAATCAGAAAACGGGCAGATGACTTCGCCAGCAGCATCTCTGCATAGCAACACAATACAGTCACACACATGAGCAAATATGGACAGGCGCACAGGCACAGACGGACAGACAGATGGAACACACACCCACCCACACACACACACACATAGAAAACAACGAGTATTTTATTCAATAATGGCTGTTCAATTTGTTCGGCTACAATCAGCGTAGTCAAGAACTATTGTTTAGCTGAATGCACATTATTTCATTCCCCTCCACCACACGGATTAGAGAAAGCCGAAGAAGATAGCCATGGCAAGCGAAAAATCACAAGAGTAACTGCTCTTCTTCCAGACAGGTAGCATGGAATGGAGGAGCTATGAAAGAACAATAGCACACTAACCGCAATGATGCCATACCGATACTCTCCCTGCAACACCAAAATACACAAACTAACTTCAAACCAACACTGCTCACTTTAATCTTGTTCTTGTACGATTTCCTGTATTCCTACACACGGTCACGTTTTTACCACTGCACAAAAGAGAAGAGAAGAAAACGCCAACAACAGCAGCAAAATTAACAGCAGCAAAATTACATTGTGCAGGTGAAATCCTGATAATTCGAACCTCAAAATGCCAGGAAAAAACTTCTAATTATCCGGACATTCTAATTATCCAAACATGAACCCACAACTCAATATGTATGTCAACATGCTCTCATGGTCACGCAGAGTTGCGCTATGGACCTTAGACACAAATTGTACGGACACTGAACTGACCGGCACAGCCTGCTCATGCAAACTGAACTGACCAGTACAGTGTACAGTGAACTTCGAATTACACGTTGCTAACTTCGAATTATCAGCACAAATCCCACACATTTTCTATGTAAGTGCAATCTGTGGAACTTCTAATTAACCGTACATGTCCAGTTCGAGGTTCGAATTATCAGAATTTTTTTATGTGGGAATCGTATTGATAGAAACGGTCCTGAAAAAACTTCTAATTAAGCGGTATGTTCGAATTAAGATTCCACCTGCACTAGTATACTTCCAAGCACCAGTAGTACCAACGATCTCTACAGGGGAGGTCCAGTATAGTCAAAACTGAATACTGTAAAAGCAATATATATAACGAAGTGCTAACTCTAACGAGTTAACGAGGAGAAATCTGTCGTTAAAATAGAAATCGTTATACAGAAATCGATACATATACTGTCCTATTGAGCGTTGAGAATGCGGAGTGAGAATTGTTACCTTTGGTACTCGTAAACAAGTCAATTTTGGGAAATCGTTATAATATGCGCCTCGTTAGAATAACGGCTTTTACAGTAGCTGATACATGCACATGGACACGCATATGGTTGCCAGTAGTACATTTACAAAAATTAGGGGGTTCCGCGAAACCCCTGGAACCGCCCCTGCCTCACGTTGCCACATGTGAAAAATGCCTTGAAACTGCCAATGCTGTACGTGTAAGTCTGGCATGTCACAATGGATACACACACACACATACGTGCACGTGCACGCGCATGGACACACACACACACACACACACACACATTGCATGCATGGTGAAGGCACTGCACGTAGCAAGCAAGTCAGCGCTCACTGAAACATGGAAAGCTAAAACAAAACATCAGATTATAGTAGTATGCAAAGAACCAAGACTGACTACAACAAACGTAAACTCACGTGACAGTGCAATTCCTAGATTTTCTTTCTTCTTCTTCCAGCTGCTGCTGGCGTTTCAGCTCCTCACGGGCACTGGTGGTAGCAAATAAATGACCGTACCACAACAACGACGACGACGACGACGACGACGACAACAACAACAACAACAACAACAACAACAACAACAACAACAACAACAACAACAACAACAACAACAACAACAACAACAACAACAACAACAACAACAACAACAACAACAATAACAACAACAACAATCTCTTATTGGCCACTGGCTATCGTGAGAGTAAAGATTCGAAACAACAACAACAACGAGAAGAGAAGGTAACAACAACTTTTCTCACAGTCACCCAGAATAGCCTGCAAAAATTATAAACACCACAAAATTCCACCAGAGTACTTCGAAGTACTCGTAATCCATGTCTCTACTAAGTGCTCACCTTGGTTTCTTGCTTGGGACACGACTACAACAGGATCAATATCATTATGATCCTACAACACTGCACTGTAGAAACTGTGCGCAAATGTATGAAGCTTGGCACCTTTATGTGCATGACCGCTTACAGCATGTACGCTGCATGAGCAAGGGTTACTTGCCACTTGCCACACTGCACTGCATGCAACGTGGAGAGATCTCTCATCAATTCCGCCCCACGATTGCACTAGGAAAGGGCTGGCAGTGACAGGGCCATCTAGCAGCATTTAACAATAGAGTACTAGTAGTATGAGCAGCTGCTGAAAACAAAAACACACCTGGGAGGAAATAGCCCCACTCACCGAGTAACATTCAACTCCACTTCCAACTGATACTTGTATGCTTCTAGGTCTGCTATCAGTGCTGGATCGCTACCATTGACCCACGTGTACACTACATCAATAGGCAATGGAGAACATAACCTGCAAGACAAGAGCAGAGCATAAGAATGCAAGCACATTCATCCTTCGGGTGAATTAGGATGGTATAAACCAGTTCCCAAACAGCCACATTGTGTTTCCCAACGTACAAGTAGGAATTCGAGTGACGATAAATACCTTTCCTAGGCCAGACATTGATGATAGGCTACAGGAAACGCATCGACTACTTTTGATCAAGACTTTGCATGCATGGTCAGAGTGCACTTGGTCAGAGTGCACTCAGAGCGGTACTAGTAGTCAGTGTTGAGTGGCATTCGTTGACTGGTGGCAAGCATGGCGTGTGTGATTGTAATGCAGCCGGCACTGGGCATGGGTGACAGCTTCCTCTCCCAGCTAGGATCACTACGGCAGTGCATTTTCACATGACTAAATCAGTGCAAAAGCAGGGCGCTAGCCTCTAGGGCATACAGTTGTTGGACGTACTTGTCCTGAAACGTATCTCCAACAATGTTATCATGGTAGAGACTGAACTGTGCAGCATACTGATCCATACTCCATTGTAATGCAACCTGCCATGGCAACAACAACAACAACGACAACAACAACAAAAACCACAACAACAATAACAACAGCAACAGCAGCAGCAGCAGCAGCAGCAGCAGCAGCAACAACAGCAACAACAACAGATTGAGATGGAGATCCATTTACCTCTGGAGAATCCGTAAATAAACAATACAATACAATACAATAAACAAGCAGTGTAGCTGGAGAGAGAGAGAGAGAGAGAGAGAGAGAGAGAGAGAGAGACGGAGAGAGAGAGAGCGAGAGAGAGAGAGAGAGAGAGAGAGAGAGAGAGAGAGAGAGAGAGAGAGAGAGAGAGAGAGAGAGAGAGAGAGAGAGAGAGAGAGAGAGAGAGAGAGAGAGAGAGAGAGAGAGAGAGAGAGAGAGAGAGAGAGAGAGAGAGAGAGAGAGAGAGAGAGAGAGAGAGAGAGAGAGAGAGAGAGAGAGAGAGAGAGAGAGAGAGAGAGAGAGAGAGAGAGAGAGAGAGAGAGAGAGAGAGAGAGAGAGAGAGAGATAGAGAGATAGAGAGAGAGAGACGGAGAGAGGGAGACGGAGAGAGAGAGATAGAGAGATAGAGAGAGGGAGACGGAGAGAGAGAGATGGAGAGAAAGAGAGAGAGAGAGAGAGAGAGAGAGAGAGAGAGAGAGAGAGAGAGATGGAGAGAGATGGAGAGAGATGGAGAGAGAGAGAGAGACGGAGAGAGAGAGACGGAGAGAGAGAGACGGAGAGAGAGAGAGAGAGACGGAGAGAGAGAGACGGAGAGAGAGAGACGGAGAGAGAGAGAGACGGAGAGAGAGACGGAGAGAGAGAGAGAGGCGGAGAGACAGAGAGAGAGATGGAGAGAGAGACGGAGAGAGAGATTGAGTAAAACTGAGAGAGAGAGAGAGAGAGAGAGAGAGAGAGATGGAGAGAGATGGAGAGAGATGGAGAGAGATGGAGAGAGAGAGAGAGAGACGGAGAGAGAGAGACGGAGAGAGAGAGACGGAGAGAGAGAGAGAGAGACGGAGAGAGAGAGACGGAGAGAGAGAGACGGAGAGAGAGAGAGACGGAGAGAGAGACGGAGAGAGAGAGAGAGGCGGAGAGACAGAGAGAGAGATGGAGAGAGAGACGGAGAGAGAGATTGAGTAAAACTATCAGAGCTGGTGTCTTATCCCGGAGATTAGTGAGTAGCATGTCTTGCGAAGCCAGGGTCAAGTGACCTCTATCGCGTTTGTGCAGACGGAGGGATATACATGACGGAGGGGTATACATGACGGAGGGGTATACATGACGGAGGGGTATACATGTATCCGCTTATACATGTACATGTGAACAAACGATCAAGGGTGAACTGCTGACGTTTATAAAGAGGTGCATCAATCACGTTCACCACATGCACAGAGTACATGCCCTGTATGCTTATGTCACATGTACAGGTATATGAAATGACCACTCCATCACATTTTCATGGACGATGCCTGACTCTGGTGTCCTGTATACATGTATGTCCGATAGCATCATACCTCTTTCGAAGTACACATCCCATAGACTAGAGATGTTCATGTGCTACTAGGGTGCGAGCACGGTCAGTGAAGTGTGGGTCCATGAGGACAAGGTCTTTGTTTACCTATGCATGTTGTACCCTCCAGGCAAGATAAATAATAGCATTTCAACATGATGCCCTTAGTAACATAGTTTATGCGAAATACCTCTCCAAGATGAAGTATAGCAATGAAAGCGAACAATACTCCTCCCAGGAGCAGCACGATTCCATATGGCTTTGATAAGCAGGTGTACAGCTGACGCTGTATCAGTTTCAGCGTGGTGGACCCAAGCAGAGCCATACGAGTATCGGGTGTACTCCACACTCACAAATACAAAATGCTAAATTCAATGAAAGAGAAAATCAATTCCTAAATTGATGACCGAGCAACATTTCTCATTCTTTCTACAAAAAGTCGTCTGTCAGCTGGCTCTGCATGTGCACGAAACACGCCGGGCTACCATTGTCAACAGTGCGGTATAAAGGCCTCTTACAATATCTTCTTGCAAAACGACATGAGCCAAAGCTTCACCAAATTTCATAAAACAAAGACTGTCAGTGAGAATTGATTGAACTCTGCTGTACCCATATCCCATGAACTGTGTGTGCTGTGTGTACGACTCCGAGTACTATACTGCACGAAAGTCCGACTTCAAATCTTTGAAGCTTCGAAGCTTTCTTTGTGAGTTGGATTATTTTGGACCATGACTCGTTTGAGCACGTGCGCATTGATCCTTTTTTTCTTCTGCTCAGCTTTGTTCAGCGTGCAGTCGTGCACATAATTATCAGTCATGCATGCTTAGCGCTTCGCTTGTACTAGTACTAGTGACATCATGTGACCGTGCTTTTCACAGTCATGTGATCGTCGCTATCGCACGTGCACGCGTGCCGCGCTAGGGCGTCAGTATGGCAGTCGACGTCATGATTGCATGATTTTGGGCGTTCTGTCTTGACTTGGCTGGCAGGTCAGTGGTCTGACTCTCTTTCCCTTTCTTTTCGGAGTGGTTGGTTTTCGGTCTCCTTTCCTCCGACCATCAATATGGACAAGACGCCAACCACAGCTTTCGGGATGCCGCTGAAGGCTACCCCTGGCATCCGTCGCTTCTCAGCTGCAGCATCAAAGGGTCAGCACAGCTGTGAGTTCGGTTCCGCCAAGTATTACGGTCTGTGTGCAATTGGAGGTGCTCTCAGTTGTGGACTTACCCATACCCTTGTCGTTCCCCTGGATTTGGTGAAGACTCGCATCCAAGTCGACCCTGCGAAATATAAGAACATTCTCACTGGATTTCGAGTGACTGTGGCTGATGAATCAGCAATGGCTTTGACCAAGGGATGGGCACCCACCCTTGTTGGTTACAGCATGCAAGGTCTGTGCAAGTTCGGATTTTACGAGCTCTTCAAGAATATGTATTCCAACATGCTTGGCGAGGAAAAGACGTACACTTGCAGAACTGGTCTGTATTTGGCTGCCTCCGCCAGTGCTGAGTTCTTCGCTGATATGGCTCTTGCCCCTATGGAAGCTGTCAAAGTGCGCATGCAAACGCAAATTGGCTGGGCCAATTCCATGAGAGAAGGAGTGCCAAAGCTCTATGCCGCAGAGGGTATTGCTGGCTTCTACAAGGGCTTGCCACCATTGTGGATGCGTCAGATTCCCTACACTATGATGAAGTTTGCATGCTTCGAGCGTACCGTTGAGGCTCTGTACAAGTATGTTGTACCCAAGCCACGTGACCAGTGCAGCAAGGCGGAGCAGCTTGTCGTTACCTTCTCTTCTGGTTACATTGCCGGTGTATTCTGTGCTGTTGTGTCTCACCCCGCTGACTCCGTCGTGTCCAAGCTGAACTCAGAGAAGGGCTCCACTGCCGTGGATGTTGCCAAGAAGCTCGGCATGGCCGGTCTCTGGAAGGGATTGGGCCCACGCATCATCATGGTGGGAACGCTCACTGCACTGCAGTGGTTCATCTACGACACCGTCAAGGTTGTCCTGCGTCTGCCCAGGCCTCCACCAGCAGCCATGCCAGAGAGCCTCAAGAGGAAGTTGGCACAGCAGCAGCAGTAGACTGACCTCTAAAACGGTCAGAACAACATTCTAGGTCTCAGAGCCTCATACTTGAAAAGCGCTTATTATGGAATTCATAGGTATTTACCTTTCATGAAAATCAAATATCTATTTTTATTTTCTGGCGTAGGAAGAAAGAAAGAGTAGTAAGAATTCTTTTCACAGTCGTGGGCTCTCGAACATTTGTGGTAGGACCAAGTTCAGTATCCACTGCCATCTGCTATACTGTAGACCAGGAAACGTTTGCGCCGGTTTTTAGTTCGCGATTTGTGAGCGCACAAATTTGTGCCTGGAGATGTTTACGATTGGAGTCAATTTCCTCAGTTTTTTTTCCTACCGTTTTGCGTCGGCTTAGTTTTGTGCGATTTTACACCAATCGCGAAAACCGCGACAGAATCCAGATCGCAAAGGTTTCCGAGTTTACAGTAAGTCTACAGTCTTCTCCCGGGGGAACTGCGGAAGAAAAGCTCAAAATTCGTGGCACAATTTACGATTAATATTCCAAATTCGCAGCAAAATTCGCGGGGAATTTGCCACAGTTTTTTTTTGGTAATTTTGCAAGTGGAATGGCCAATCTACTGGTTTGCCTGCCAGATATTGCGGTACCTATTTTTCATCAATGAGAGTGTGTGACATTTGTAAACAGTATGCTAGGGAGTGCCCTACACATGCTTCCGAGTGCATGACGATGTACCGGTATGTGACATGAACGGCTCGCAGCCCAAAATTAGTGTGTAGCGCAACAAAATGTTCAAAGATCGTTTTTGAAAAATCACCAAATTCGCATAAAAAATGTGGCCGCGGAATCGCGATTTTCCCTGGGGACAAACTCCCATTGAGTTGTTGGTAAGATTGATGTGCAGCAGAGGGCTCCAACTGGCAATTGACGCACGTCAAGCGAGTGTCTGAAATAAGTATTCCTTTGCCCAATGATCACTTGGATTTGAGGTCTCCTTGTAGAAACATGTATGAGAGCCCGTAATGGGAAAATACTGATTTTGCGGAGGGATGTGCTGTGCAGCTCCGCGGCATCTGCACTACAGGGCTCATTCTCCTGAAGTTGCACACTCTGGTTCTTGATCATACTGGTGCAACAAGAAAGGGCCAGGGGCGTGTGTGATCCCCGGTGGCCTGTAGGTTATTGGTAGGCCACTGTCCCGGTATGTGAGCCGTAAGACAGGGGTGCTGGATTCCAATCCTGCTCGTTTATCCTTCTTTTGCAACACTGGGATGTAGTAGATTAGTCGAATGTGCTGCAAACAGGCGTGGACAACTGTGGGGACAACTCGATCGTACTGCCGTACATCTCGAAAAGTAGTTTCTACCTGGCCTGCAAATAACCAAAGTGTGAGATTCCTATCCTGAGCTGCAATTTTTGAATCGCCCACGGTAGAATTTTTGGCTAGTTGCATGCTGTTTGAAGCAGGACTACACCCTAGCCGTTGGATAGCTGCTTTAGGCCCTCTTCGACTAGATACAAAACAGCCTACTACAGTGCTGCTCAATGAAAGACTTTAAGTACGCGTCGGGCGTTGCGTAGCCCGAGACCTGCAAACACTGGGCTGCGAAAGATGCAAGGCGCAAACTTACTTGAGTGACGTGACTGGGGGTGCGTTTGGTTGGTACGATCTAGAACAGGATCGAACAGCTGGTGCACATGGAGCAGCCTCATGCCAACCAAACGGTACTCCAGAAACAGAGCACATTTTCGTGGAAAAATGTGTGAAACTTGAAAATGTGTATGGGTCACCATGGTCACTTTGTACGGTACAACGAGTCCAACCCAAAAGCGTATGCACGTGATCATTTGGGACCAAAATCGATGTTCCCGCCAGGTTTCACTGTGAAAAAGTGAAACTGCTTGGTCTGCTCCGGCCTCGAGGAGCAAGCAGAACATGTTCTGGCCGACCAAGAACAGGTGCAGTCCCAACCAAACGCGCTGTTCTGGTGAATCCTGTTCTAGTTCGTACCAACCAAACGCGCCCTGGATTTCATTGAGCAGGACTGTACTTCGAAGTAGTGTATGTCACATTTACATAGAAGTTTCCAAGACAACTACAAGAATCTGGTGGGAAGCCTAAAAAGCTGCCCAATACTATCAGGCAGGTTGCTGACCTTCGTACAAGGCAACTAACGTACTTTATTGTACTTTCACCAGGCAGTTGTACAAGCATACAAACTGTGTTTGACTGCATACTGCTTTCACGCATCCCCTTGCGCGTAGGGTCAACGGTTAACCGGTTACCTGTATGTTGCATGTGTTCTAATGTAGTCTGAATGCGGGCTTGGCAGTTGGAACAAATCAGTTGTTGCCTTTTAGGTTTTATGTGAGTTCGTAGTACTGGATATTCTATGTACGTAGTCTGTAGAGGGCCTTAGAACCAATCATGAACTATACTGATGGCAACTGAAATCAGACCCCTGAAGTTTGTGCTGGAGTGCAACACCGATTCAACTAGCGGTCTCTATTTCGTAGTGTTTCTATCCCGAGCTGAGTCTTTGCGATGTGTGAGCTCAGGGGTCGGATTTCAGTTGCCAGCACTGCACATGACATGTAGAGTCGACTTCGCTAATAACGACTGCGGATATAACGACAATTCGCGAATAACGACAGAATTCCCATGCCCAGAGCAAAGTCCCATCTAACTGTAATACGTATAATGAGACTTTGGGTATAAGGCCACCCTTTCTTTTTTCGTTGTTTAACGTCCGCGCCCGCGTACCTTTTTGCCTCCGACCGGAAAAAAAACAAGAAAGTAGTAGTACCAATAATATGCGAAGTTGTAAATACATGATTGTGTAGTTTCACAGTGTGCCGATCATGACATTAAACTTATAATCTTGCCTCCCGGGCATGCCTTTGTCTTGTGTTCTTTTTCTTTTTTTGTTGGCTTTTAAATATCGTACGGTGTGTGTCCTAGTAAAAATCCAGATGTAATGAATTCATGACATGCTAACTCCATGCTACATGTATGTTACTATGTACCTGTTTTGTTGAATTCATCAGGCATGTGCTCCAATGTACCATCAAAGAGTGTTGTTCTATGCCTGCAAGTGCCGTTAGACCCAGAAATATTGTATACATGTATATCACATGCTTTACTGGTCAAAATGTTTGATTGGGGTTTCCAGTTTTTGGAATGGGCTTTTGTTTTTTTTCCGCCCTCCCGCGTACCTTTTCGCGAAAAAAAGGACGTTAAACAATGAATTAACAAAGGGTGGCCTAAGGACACTTCGCGAATAAGGACACTTTTCTGATGCCCCGCCGAGTGTCGTTATACGCAAAGTTGACTGTAGTTCATGATCAGTTGTATGCTCTTGCATGATGATGTTCGAACGTACATGCGCCATGTTGCCGTGCCCAAGCCTCCGAGCTTGGCAAGCTGCCCCTTCTCCGTGGATCCATATGTGCGTAGCCGGCCATGTATTCAGTAGCACCTACCTACATCGGAATAAACAGTTGTATTGCAACCTTATGCAGAAGAACGGAAGTGTTGCGTTGTGACCGTGAGTAGTAAAATAGGTACAGTCACAGTGCAGTATTATAGAACTTAGAAGCCTTGCTTGATAGTATAACAAACAACCACCCCCTAGAATAAAGAGAGTCCGAACCGGGTTTTTCCCCCCATACGGTTCAAATAGTCGCAAGACCGGGACTCTGCCAACCGGTTTCAAGTATATTATGGTTGTAGTCAGGAGCACTGTGCGTCCTCGCCTTGTGTTTATGTAACATGCTGTCAAAATCGAAAACAAGTCTGTTTACTATCTGATACATGTACCTGTAAATATTAAATGCATACGCACACGTAGATCTACACGTCTATGTGCACTAGCACTAATAATACATGTAATACTTCGAAGTAATAATAGTTTTTTTATTTTTTATTAAATTTTTAATAGGGCATTCCCACAGGCCTAAGGCCTTCTTACGGGGTACCCTATATGTTTTTTTATACTGAGCTTGTATACAAACTCCCATCTCTCCCCACACAACACTCCAGACTTGTATTTTGCATATAACAGGTACTTCGATGACGAGAATATAAACTGGTATATAAACTGGTGTATAAACTGGTGTATAAACTGGTATATAAACTCCTTTTTTTTTAGGATCACACTAGGGGAGTTTGTATATCAGCTCAGTATAAGCATAATATAACCTACTCAGTTGAATATGGGAAATATAAACCAATAATTATACAAACCTCGGCTTCGCCTCGGTTTGTATACAGGTTTATATTTCCCATATAATCAACTGGTTAGGTTATATTATATACGTATAGATGAGCGGAAGTCTGATAGCGTGGAGCAAATACGAACAGAAGCAGGGAGCGAATTCCAGCGATCTGCACCTAAGAAGCTTAATGCGTACAAGCCATAGCGGTTATTAGCCGGGGGAAGAGCAAGAGACAGAGTAACCTGCGAGCGGGTGATTGACGCTGTGTGTGTGGCATTGACTCTAGTCACAAAACAGTCTGATAAGAGCGGGCTGCACACCTTATGTAATGATCTGTAAATAAGTACGAACAATTTGAATCTCAAACGTAAGGAGATAGAAGCTAGGTGGTATCTGGCTAGAATAGTAGAAATGTCACAGAACCTTGGATAACCAAAAACAGTTCTAACTGCACGGTTGCTGAGGCAAGTCAAGCGATCTTGTTGCCCAGCCTGCAGACTGTGATAAAAAGCATTGGAACCGTACTCCAGTTGAGCCTGTATGAACGAGCAGTAGAAGGTTCTCTTTGCATCAATTGTTAGACGGTCACGGATTCTACGAAACACAGCTAGCTTGTCGCCTACCTTTCGCTCAAGGGCACTGATGTGGTCAGCGAATGTCAGGTGCTGGTCAAAGGTCATACCAAGGTACTTGACGGTGGTCGCTGGTGGAATTGAGACATTGTCAATGGTTAGTCGGAGGGAGGAGCATACTTTTTTCGATCTGGAGTGGAACACAATGAACTGGGTCTTGCTGGTATTCAGGATTAGTCCTCGTTCACTGAGGAAGTCCCTGATACGACACACATCTCGGGCCAGTTCTTCGGTAGTTTGTTGTAGGTTGCGGCCTGCTAGGTAGAGGGCGACATCGTCAGCGTACTGGCGCACCATGCTGGAAGATGCTGCCGAGGGCAATTTGCGTACAGATAGGTTAAAGAGCACAGGTCCG